ATGCCAGAAACCACAGGAGGGAAGTGTGTTCTTCTGCTCGAATCCTGCTTCCTGGTTTCCCATAGGCAACTGTTCAGCCACTGTGAGAACAGAAAGCTAGGCTACATGGGCCATTGGCTTTCTCCACCAGGTTTTTCTTATGCTCTTGCTTTCTTATGACCACATGTCAATTCAACTATATCATGCACACAAAAACCCACTGTATGAGCAGTACAACCAACCCTTTAAATGTAGGCTAATCCAGCCTCATATAACCAGCATGCTTGAATCTAATTAATGCATGAAGGGGTTAAGGTCATAGAGTAACCTGTCCCAGCAGGTTTAGCCTATGTAGCTTCTCCTCACCCTGGAAGGAAATAGGTAACCAAGCTTTCGTTCCTTCAGTCTACATGTGAACATGGGTGTGTGAGGAGCTTTGAGCTGCAGCCACTTTTGTTTGAGACAAGTATGGAGTCTGAAACAAACGTTTTCCTATACCAATAGTTTAGGACAGGCATAGGCAAACTTGGCCCTCCAGATGTTTTTGGCCTACAACTCCCATGATCCCCAGCTAACAGGACCAGTGGTCAGGGATGATGGGAAATGTAGTCCCAAAACATTTGGAGGGCCACGTTTGCCTATGCCTGGTTTAGGAGCTTTTAGCATTTTGTAAACAAGCTACATTTTGTTGCCTCTGCAACTTTTCTGAATGCTTTATAGTATAGTTTGTAAGTACAGTGGTACCTTGGGTTAAGAACTTAATTTGTTCTGGAGGTTCGTTCTTAACCTGAAACTGTTCTTAACCTGAGGTACCACTTTAGCTAATGGGGCCTCCCATTGCCGCCGCGCCGCCGCCGCACGATTTCTGTTCTCATCCTGAAGCAAAGTTCTTAACCCGAGGTACTATTTCTGGGTTCGCGGAGTCTGTAACTTGAAGCATCTGTAACCTGAAGCATGTGTAACCTGAAACGTCTGTAACCCAAGGTACCACTGTAAACCATTTTTATAATTTACCAGATGTGGTCGTTTTCTATGCCAGGGGAAGTGGAAAAATTTGGAAGGACATTTTTAAGGGAGACATTTTGGAATTCGCTGAAAAGGGCACATTTTAAGGATTTACATCCGATATTTTTACACTTTGCTTTGCTGCATGTTTTGCCATGTTAAATCTCTGCTGGAGTTCTCCCTTGCCCCAAACTTGGATCTTGACTTCTAGAAATTTTTGAGCAGATGAACTGAAGACAAAGCAATAAGCAGTGGAAACCTACATAGGTCTACTGAAAAGTAAGTCCCATTGAGTTCAACAGGGCTTTCTCCCAGGTAAGTGAGCATAGGATTGCAGCTTAAACCAGCCTTTTAGATAAACACACCCGCTTTACTGGTATGTCAACAGGGTTTGTGTTCCTAGAGACAAAATATTTGTCTTTTAAACTGAGATTAGAAACCCTTTGCCTTTGCAGTTAGTTTTCTGTGGTGAAATTACTGTAGGGATGTCCTTAGACTACATGAAGACTAGGAAAATGAGAGGCCAACAACTGTTCATCTAAAGGAAGTTGCTGTTCTCTTTCTTACTAAAGAACCTAGAAAACTGACTGGAATATCTAAATCTCAGGAAGAAGATTATGCTACAATTCAGTTCTGGTTCTTTTTCAAACAAAGGTTTAGGGGTTGCTGCCTGAAACTAAGATTATACAATTTGTAAATAGGCCTTTTCCTATGCCCCCCCTTGAATTTAGCTAAGTGATGCCTATTACTCTGAATTCTCAGTAATTTTTTACCTGTATATCACCTGCAGTCTCACTCCTTTTAACATCATAACGTATGAGAAAATCTCCATCGAGCAGTGTGTCATCCAATCCGGGGGTTTTCCTTTGTTGATCTATGGTTGGTTTAAATGAAATGTGGGCCTAAATAAGAGCCACAAAAGCAAACAATCAGTCAAGCTAGAATAGGAGGGCCGGTGATTTTTCTTTTTTTAAAAAAGCATGCTAAGTCTTGTAGTCCCTATAATGCATACCTTTGTCTCATTCTGCACCTTTGTTAGAGCATTGTTCAGTTCATTGGTTATGAAAGTACTCTCAGTTTCCAGTGCACTTATACCTTGTGGTTCAAATATGTGGGTGTCAATCTGAAGAAAATAAAAAGATGCTTCAGGGTCATAACCTTCAGCTACAACATGGGGCCAGCAATTGGCATCATTTATAGAAAGAGCCTCTTCCAAGAATTTACCTGAAAGTGTTTAACAAGTTGTTTGGGCTTGACCTTGATCAGCAGTTCGTACTTTCCCAGCTTTCGCTTTAGAAGTTCCTCGTATGTGAGTTCAAAGTTAACTTTGGCAGCAGCTGCAACATTGACTGAAACACGAAACTGTTCTAGTTTTCTTCCAGTTGATCTGAAGGGAAATGAGGAATTTAGGCTTTATGCAAGAATTTGGCAGCTCATCCTCACGTTTGTCTGGGAAATGAACTCGTGAGTGATATTAAGTTGTGCCCATCCACTAGCAGAATGGACTTCCGTGTGCCACGAGATGTTTCCTTCATCTCCTTCCCCTGCAGATGCTGTTTGTTTCCCACAAATCTTTTCCAGAAGAAGAATGAGAAGTCCCACTACATGAGTAGAAGTCAACTCATGTGATACTGGATTTTGAAGTAGTGTAGTATACTTGCACTGATACTGGAGTGGAGATGTTGAAGGCAGGCCTCTTATACTTTTAATAGTTGTGTGTAAGAGGGAATTCTGACAGGTGTGGTTTGTCTTGTAGAGGTAAATGGCATCAATGGTGTCCTTCATTCATCCATGGAGTGCTGAAACAGCAGCAGCCAAAGCACCATGGTTTCATGGAAATTTGACTGTTCTAGAGCACCTGAATAGGGATGTTAAGAGCTCTGCAAGCTACCTGTCCCTGGTCTTCTCGTGGATAGGACGCTGCTGAACTTCCAAAAACTTGGGACATGACATTTCTAGAACACCTTGTGTCTTTTCTGAATACTAAAAGCCTCTCAAGAAGTGACAGTCTCCAAGAATCCTTGCTGGGGGGAAACTTCTCAGGGAAACAACAGTCAATTCATGATGCAGCTGAACATTATCATTTGTAAAGTTCATATTTGAAATATTTGAACTTCAGTGACATCACTATGCAATACCAGTGAGGGTTTGATATGGTGTCTGTAACCCTTAGCGGGTCTACTTCATGAAAGCCACCAATAGCTCTTTTAGATCGATTATAATCTAGTCAAATCTACACTCTTTAGAATGTTATAATTTGGGCATACTGCTAGGACTGTAAAATGGAGATAGAGTGAATTGAGACTTAGGTTCTAAGAATATTGGGTTGGATCTGCAACTGTGTGAGCATAATGCCCCTTGCATGATGGGATCTTTCACCTCCTTTGCTCTGCAGCCCTTGAAAGCCCTTTCTGGGATGTGAGGAGACAGTTGTAAACAGTACAGCTGCTACACAGTAAACTGTAGTGGGAAATGGAGCCCTGTGCTCGCAAGGTCCCGTCACTTCATTTCCATTGCTGCATTCTCAAGCCACAGCTTACACTGAGGGCACCTGACATTTAGGAGAGGCTTGTGAGCAGGTGCAAGGCAAGAGAGACAGAGGCAGAAGAGACCTAGTAAATCAGCAGAACTTGGGCTCCAGCCCATCTTGTCCTTAATGTTTTGCTTAATGATCACAGTTGGCCTGCATTTAGGGACAATTTTTGCTCACAACATCAGGTTTGGTGACTATTTCTTTTCGCCTTTCCCTTTGGTATTGTTGTGTGATTATTTGATCAACCCATTTGGTCTAGTGTGCATTTACTTGACCCGCTTCAGCTTTGGGCAATGATGTCAGTGGTGCTAAGAAGTAGTGGCTATGTATAGTAAAGCACTTGGTGTAAACCACTTTCCAAATATTCCTATACACTTCTATCCTCTCTATGGCTTTACCCATGACTGCAATGGCGGCAGCGGGGGGAGTTGCTTACTTGACCAGTCCAGCACTCTGTCCTTGTGAAACCGCAGCATCATACTGATCTTGTGCAGATTTCTTCTCCTTGATTATTCCGGGATATGTTTTTCCATCTATTGTCCTTAAAAAACAGTGTTTTGAACAGTTAAAGTCATTAGAAAGAGGTAATGTCCTCTTATGCCCCTGTCCTCTTCTGCAGCCCACCTATTCCTCCCAAAAAACTGCTCTGGAGTTGGGGGGACCCTTCAGAACCATGTGGGAGGTGATGTTGGGGGAAGGTGAATTCAGTTTCAGTAAGACTCTGCTTTTATAAATTAAAAGGTGAAAAATGCCCCCCCCTCCACTCATTGGGACGTTCGGTTGATGGCACTGGAACAGCTTACTGGTTGCAACTCACTTCCTCAGCTGGAAGAAGCCCTTCCATTCACAGAATAGCTGGGCTGGAGCAAGTCCTCTATCTTTTAAGAGGCCCCAGACATGAGCTTACAAAGCCTTACATGCTAAAGTTTGTGATGAAAGCTGACTTGGGTAACTCCACTTCAAAAAGAGCCTCCTTGGATTCATTCGCTCTGTTGGCAACTCTGCTGGTGATTACTGTGTGGGCATATCGTGAGGTAACTTTGCAGTCCACATGCAGGCTGTAGATTTCAATGGCATTCTGGAGAAGAAGAGGAAAAGATTCTCTGAATTCAGACAAACTTCTTCCACACCAAATGTATTATTGTAGAGCAAGATTTGATCAGCTCATTTAGTTGTCAGAGCAAGGAGAGAGTCCATTCATTAGGCTTCCACTCTGGCAGATGATGTTCATGCTCCTGCCCTAAAAAATTGCCCCCTCCACTACGCCACTGGTCAGGTCATAAGTCCACCTAGCTCACTGTTGTCCTACACTGACTGGCAGGCTCTAGAAAACCTGGAACCCTTGGCATGCAAAGCAGATACTCTTATCACAGAGTTATGCATCCTCCCAGATTATAAATTAAATTAGTAGTTTATATACTCCCATCAGTATTTAAGACAACCAGTTCAATTGTAGTGTTAACTAAATTAAGGTTAAAATCATACATGAATTAGATTCCCATCCCCCTCTTTTTATCATGTTACCGAATGCAGTTCGGAAACATGAAAAAAGAGGGGGATGGGAATCTAATTCATGAGTAGTCTACTGATGTGAATAGCGTAAGGTCAGGGAAAGTAGTCATGGAAATCGGCTGCCCAAGAATAAGGACTTCCCATTACGTGCCATCACCCTAAACCCCACATGAAAATAAGTTTTAAAAAATTGGATATTGCAAATTCATGTACATTTCCCCGATATTCTAAAGACAAATGAGACATGTCTAATTCAAAAAAAGGGACAATTACCTCAGGTGCCACAAATACTTGTAGTGAAGAAAAAAACAGCCAAGCGACAAAAAAATGCCTGTCCATTTTGGATGTGACAAATCCACAGAAGTGAAGTCTTTTATACAAAAGAGTTAATGAACAACTAACGTCTGAGGGACTTTGTGGACTTATGAAGCCTAATATTTACCCACTGAATCAGAACAATATTCTTGAAACAGAACATCCCCCATCTTGCCGATGTCACCAACCTTGTCAAGCAAGTGAATGGAAAATCTGTGTTCTACCCAATATGTTTGCAATACCAAAAATATATGAGTGGCTTCCCCCTTTCCTGTGGTTTTAAGAAAGTCCGGTTCTATAAAAATTTGCAGAATATAAATCACAGAATATAATAATGTTTTTTAAAATAATAATAATTCCATAAAGAAAATTTGATAACACATGTACAGTATATGAACACAGGTATGAAGTTTACAGCATGTAATGCTTTAAGAGAGAACATAATGAAAATGGTATACAGGTGGTACATGACCCCAGTCAAGCTTGCAAAAATCTATCATTTGCCCGATAACAAATGTTGGAAATGTAAAGAAACTGAAGGTACATTCTTTCACCTTTGGTGGACGTGCCCAAAGATTAAGGCCTTCTGGGAAATGATATATAATGAATTGAAAAGGTATTTAAATATACCTTCTTGAAGAAACCAGAGGCCTTTCTCCTGGGCATTGTCGGCCTATTGGTGCCAAAGAAGGATAGAACTTTCTTTATGTACGCAACAACAGCAGCAAGAATACTCATCGCGAAGTATTGGAAGACACCAGATTTACCCACCTTGGAAGAATGGCAGATGAAGGTGATTGACTACATGGAATTAGCAGAAATGACTGGCAGAATCCGTGACCAGGGAGAAGAGTTGGTGGAAGAAGATTGGAAGAAATTTAAAGACTATTTGCAGAAATACTGTAAAATTAAGGAATGCTAAAATGATGTCTGATGTAAAATAAGTGGTATTGGTAAAAAGTTTTGCTTTTGGATCGATAATGGTTAAAAATATATATTTATAATAGGTTAAGTTATTGAGTTAAGATAAAGGACAGAAGGTAAGGATTTGCTGAAAGGATTTTTTAAACGGGAATACAAGCGGGGAGGTGTGAGGAGGTCAAAGAACCAAGGAAAGGAGACTGAGGACAAGAGATGGATTTAATTTTAAATTCTTTTTTATTTTTTATTTTTTATTTTTATTTTATTTTTTAGTGTGACAATTTTTCCTTTTTTCTCTTTTATGCTTATGATTTTTGTATGTTTCTGTATTTTTATGTTATGAAACTTAATAAATATTATTTAAAAAAACCACACACACACATGTACAGTATACAGTCAAAGCTCGGTTCTCAAATGGCTCCATTTTCGAATGTTTCAGCTCCCGAACGTCAAAAACCCAGATGCTCCGGTTTTTAAATGTTTTATGGAACACGAACATCCAACGCGGCTTCCGCTTGAATGTAAGAAGCTCTTGCAACCAATCGGAAGCTGCGCCTTGCTTGTCGAATGTTTTGGAAGTCGAATGGTCTTCTGGAACGGATTGCGTTCGACAACCGAGGTTTGACTATACAGGAAATTTGATCCTTCGATCTTGGCAAGATGTCTTTCACTGTGCTGCTGTGTGAGCTAAGTCAGTCTCCTATCCCAGACAACAATAGCACTGGCTACCAGGAAATCAAATCCAACCTACCAAGTCATGAAGCAATGTGGTAAGTGTCTACTGCAATCCTTTCAGTGATATCATGTAACCTTGAGCTGAGAGCTGAGAGAATGGGTGCTTGACCTTTAAACAGCAGATTACCTGGGCCAGCTAGGGCCATCATATTACAAGGGGACTGGTTTCCTCTTCTATAGGCCCCAGTTTTGTAGACGGTTAAGACTCCCAGGCACAATTAACCCCTCAGTTCTATAACAATATAAGGGTATTTGATTAACTACATAGTGGAACATACAGTTCAGAATATTGTACTCTGTAACGCAATTCAGAACAACAAACATTACTGTTTGTTGAGCACTTGACCTTCCTGTGGCTTTTTTATGATTTCCCTTGCCTCCTTGCAACCCAACCCCACCTCCCAAGCTATTTTGAAGGATCTCCTGACCCTCCAGCGCAGACCAGGGGAGTGGGGTGGGGGCTGCAGGAGAGACTGCGTATTGGAGGGTGTTCCACTCTCAGAAGGCTCAAACAGTCTTCCATCAGTAGAGGGACGCTAACTGTATATAATTCGCTGCTTTCAAATGCAAGGGGTGAAAAAAGAGCATGGGGCCACAAAGGGATGATGCTGTCATGTTATTGACTTGTCATGTTACTGAACTCAGCAATGTTACTAAACTTGTCATGTTACTGAACTCCGGAGTTAGGTAATTCTGGGGCTTACATAATCGGAAATTGAGTAAGTTACACAGACACATTTAAGAAAGTCCTGCATGCTGCTACAACCTCCCACGCTTGTCAAGGGTCACTACATTTTGAAATATTATGAAACAGAGGACAAACATCCCTTGTAGTCAGTAAAAGTCAACGCTTCCCCAAAAATCATTTTTTTATCAATGCAGGCAGAAGTTCTATCAGTGACCATGTTCAGTATCTTGGGCAAAGGATGGCATCAGTCCTAGAGGATGTTAGACTTGCCAGCCACTATGTGTACCCAGACATCTCCTGCAACTTTATTTAGCAGATATATTTCTATCCTACCTTTCAATGGAACATTTTTTGGAGTTGCTTAGAAAACAAGCAAAGTGTTAGCAGAAATGAAACAGTGAAAGTTAGGGTTCCTTAAAAGGATGGGATGCACACACCCCAAATAAAAATGGTTTTGACATGGCACCTAAATCTCATAGGAAGGATGCACCTGGTAAACTGCCCTGGAGTGGGCATTCCAAAAGCAAGCCACTAGTAACAAGCATTTAGTCACTGCCAGCAAGACAACAGAAGAAGAGACTTGCCCTATGACTTCAATTACCTGGTGGGTCTTTATGTAAGCAAGTGGTCCTTGTGATGCAATGTCTTTCAAGGATGAAACTAGCACTTTCAAGTGTGCCCAGAAATATTTCCCCGATATTTTACTCATATTCTACCCAATATGTCTGCAATACCAAAAATATATGAGTGGCTTCCCCCTTTCCTGTGGTTTTAAGAAAGTCCTGTTCTATAAAAATTTGCAGAATGTAAATCACAGAATATGTTTTTTAAAATAATAATTCCATAAAGAAAATTTATAACACGTGTGCAGTATACAGTCAAACCACGGTTCTCAAACGGCTCGATTTTTTACCGTTTCAGCTCCCAAACGCCAAAAACCCAGAAGTAAATGCTCCGGTTTTCCATTTTTTGGGAACCCGAACGTCCGACACCACTTCCGCTTGAGTGCAAGAATCACTTGCAACCATTCGGAAGCTGTGCCTTGGTTGTCAAACATTTTGGAAGTCGAATGGTCTTCCAGAATGGATTACGTTCGACAACCGATGTTTGACTGTACAGGAAATTTGATCCTTGGATCCTGGATCCTGTGTGGGCTAAGTCAGTCTCCTATCCCAGACAACAATAGCACTCAAATTAACAAGTGTGTCCAAATGTCCACATTAAATGAAGATCTGCCCACCATCTGTAGAACATTCACCCAGCAGACTAACAAGGAAGTAAACGAAGCACTAGGCAGCATGTGACCAACCGCATCATGATTGCATCAGTCACAGTGCAATTGTATACATGTCTACTCAGAAGTAAGCCCTGTTGAGCTCATGTGACATACTCCCAGGTAAATGTGTATAGCAGGGGTGGAGAACCTTTTGCAGGCCACGGGCCACATTCCCTCAAAGGCAAGGTTCCAACCACATCTTTCCATCTAGGCAAGCAAGAGGCATGGTACACAGGTCAAGGACATCTCCTAGCAAAAAGACTCAAGAACAGCAGGAGGGGAGGTTGTGGCCATCACCTACCCATCCCTTGAAGGGTATTCCGTTGAAGGAATCTGGTGGTCGTGGTTCCTGTCCGATGCCCAGGTAGTGGCTAGGGCCATGGAACAACCCTCTGGTGACTCTAGGGGAAAGCTTCCAGTTGATTTGCATCAACAAGCTCCCCCTACAGGTTGTTAACCCTTGTGTGACTCCCTGCAGGGTGGACAGGAGTAAGTATAGTCTGTTCGGACCCAGTGCCTAAGCCAATACCAGTCACATTCTGTAACCAATAAAGTTGTGGCCTTTTTTAGCCCATTAACCTAAAATACTTATCCCATGTGTCTTGTTGTTGTTGTTGTTTAGTCGCTTAGTCGTGTCCGACTCTTCGTGACCTCATGAACCAGAGCACGCCAGGCACTCCTGTCTTCCACTGCCTCCCGCAGTTTGGTCAGACTCATGTTAGTCGCTTCGAGAACACTGTCCAACCATCTCGTCCTCTGTTGTCCCCTTCACCTTGTGCCTTCAATCTTTCCCAAAATCAGGGTCTTTTCCAGGGAGTCTTCTCTTCTCATGAGGTGGCCAAAGTATTGGAGCCTCAGCTTCACGATCTATCCTTCCAGTGAGCACTCAGGGCTGATTTCCTTAAGAATGGATAGGTTTGATCTTCTTGCAGTCCATGGGACTCTCAAGAGTCTCCTCCAGCACCATAATTCAAAAGCATCAATTCTTCGGCGATCAGCCTTCTTTATTATCCAGCTCTCACTTCCATACATCACTACTGGGAAAACCATGTAGTGATGGGGCCAGTGGCCATGATCTTTGTTTTTTTGATGTTGAGCTTCAGACCATATTTTGCACTCTCCTCTTTCACCCTCATTAAAAGGTTCTTTAATTCCTCCTCACTTTCTGCCATCAAGGTTGTGTCATCTGCATATCTGAGGTTGTTGATATTTCTTCCGGCAATCTTAATTCCGGCTTGGGATTCATCCAGTCCAGCCTTTCGCATGATGAATTCTGTATATAAATTAAATAAGCAGGGAGACAATATACAGCCTTGTCGTACTCCTTTCCCAATTTTGAACCAATCAGTTGTTCCATATCCATAGCTTCTTGTCCCACATAGAGATTTCTCAGGAGACAGATGAGGTGATCAGGCACTCCCATTTCTTTAAGAACTTGCCATAGTTTGCTGTGGTCAACGCAGTGAAATGCATGTGTTTCTGGAACTCTCTAGCTTTCTCCATAATCCAGCGCATGTTTGCAATTTGAATTGAAGTCATAGGGCAAGTCTCTTCTTCTGTTGTCTTGCTGGCAGTGACTAAATGCTTGTTACTAGTGGCTTGCTTTTGGAATGCCCACTCCAGGGCAGTTTACCAGGTGCATCCTTCCTATGAGATTTAGGTGCCATGTCAAAACTTGCTGCTGTTGTTGCGTACATAAAGAAAGTTCTATCCTTCTTTGGCACCAATAGGCCGACAATGCCCAGGAGAAAGGCCTCTGGTTTCTTCAAGAAGGTATATTTAAATACCTTTTTCAATTCATTATATATCATTTCCCAGAAGGCCTTAATCTTTGGGCACGTCCACCAAAGGTGAAAGAATGTACCTTCAGTTTCTTTACATTTCCAACATTTGTTATCGGGCAAATGATAGATTTTTGCAAGCTTGACTGGGGTCATGTACCACCTGTATACCATTTTCATTATGTTCTCTCTTAAAGCATTACATGCTGTAAACTTCATACCTGTGTTCATATACTGTACATGTGTTATCAAATTTTCTTTATGGAATTATTATTATTTTAAAAACCTTATTATATTCTGTGATTTATATTCTGCAAATTTTTATAGAACCGGACTTTCTTAAAACCACAGGAAAGGGGGAAGCCACTCATATATTTTTGGTATTGCAAACATATTGGGTAGAACACAGATTTTCCATTCACTTGCTTGACAAGGTTGGTGACATCGGCAAGATGGGGGATGTTCTGTTTCAAGAATATTGTTCTGATTCAGTGGGTAAATATTAGGCTTCATAAGTCCACAAAGTCCCTCAGACGTTAGTTGTTCATTAACTCTTTTGTATAAAAGACTTCACTTCTGTGGATTTGTCACATCCAAAATGGACAGGCATTTTTTTGTCGCTTGGCTGTTTTTCTTCACTACAAGTATTTGTGGCACCTGAGGTAATTGTCCCTTTTTTGAATTAGACATGTCTCATTTGTCTTTAGAATATCGGGGAAATGTACATGAATTGCAATATCCAATTTTTTAAACTTATTTTCATGTGGGGTTTAGGGTGATGGCACGTAATGGGAAGTCCTTATTCTTGGGCAGCCGATTTCCATGACTACTTTCCCTGACCTTACGCTATTCACATCAGTAGACTACTCATGAATTAGATTCCCATCCCCCTCTTTTTATCATGTTACCGAATGCAGTTCGGAAACATGAAAAAAGAGGGGGAGGGGAATCTAATTCATGTATGATTTTAACCTTAATTTAGTTAACACTACAATTGAACTGGTTGTCTTAAATACTGATGGGAGTATATAAACTACTAATTTAATTTATAATCTGGGAGGATGCATAACTCTGTGATAAGAGTATCTGCTTTGCATGCCAAGGGTTCCAGGTTTTCTAGAGCCTGCCAGTCAGTGTAGGACAACAGTGAGCTAGGTGGACTTATGACCTGACCAGTGGCGTAGTGGAGGGGCAATTTTTTAGGGCAGGAGCATGAACATCATCTGCCAGAGTGGAAGCCTAATGAATGGACTCTCTCCTTGCTCTGACAACTAAATGAGCTGATCAAATCTTGCTCTACAATAATACATTTGGTGTGGAAGAAGTTTGTCTGAATTCAGAGAATCTTTTCCACTTCTTCTCTAGAATGCCATTGAAATCTACAGCCTGCATGTGGACTGCAAAGTTACCTCACGATATGCCCACACAGTAATCACCAGCAGAGTTGTCAACAGAGCGAATGAATCCAAGGAGGCTCTTTTTGAAGTGGAGTTACCCAAGTCAGCTTTCATCACAAACTTTAGCATGTAAGGCTTTGTAAGCTCATGTCTGGGGCCTCTTAAAAGATAGAGGACTTGCTCCAGCCCAGCTATTCTGTGAATGGAAGGGCTTCTTCCAGCTGAGGAAGTGAGTTGCAACCAGTAAGCTGTTCCAGTGCCATCAACCGAACGTCCCAATGAGTTGGGAGAGGAGGCAATTTTCACCTTTTAATTTATAAAAGCAGAATCTTACTGAAACTGAATTCACCTTCCCCCAACATCACCTCCCACATGGTTCTGAAGGGTCCCCCCAACTCCAGAGCAGTTTTTTGGGAGGAATAGGTGGGCTGCAGAAGAGGACAGGGGCATAAGAGGACATTACCTCTTTCTAATGACTTTAACTGTTCAAAACACTGTTTTTTAAGGACAATAGATGGAAAAACATATCCCGGAATAATCAAGGAGAAGAAATCTGCACAAGATCAGTATGACGCTGCGGTTTCACAAGGACAGAGTGCTGGACTGGTCAAGTAAGCAACTCCCCCCGCTGCTGCCATTGCAGTCATGGGTAAAGCCATAGAGATGATAGAAGTGTATAGGAATATTTGGAAAGTGGTTTACACCAAGTACTTTACTAGACATTGCCACTACTTCGTAGCACCACTGACATCATTCCCCAAAGCTGAAGCGGGTCAAGAAAATGCACACTAGACCAAATGGGTTGATCAAATAATCACACAACAATACCAAAGGGAAAGGCGAAAAGAAATAGTCACCAAACCTGATGTTGTGAGCAAAAATTGTCCCTAAATGCAGGCCAACTGTGATCATTAAGCAAAGCATTAAGGACAAGATGGGTTGGAGCCAAAGTTCTGCTGATTTACTAGGTCTCTTCTGCCTCTGTCTCTCTTGCCTTGCACCTGCTCAGAAGCCTCTGCTAAATGTCAGGTGCCCTCAGTGTAAGCTGTGGCTTGGGACAGCAGCAATGGAAGGGTGGATTGTGAAAATAAAGTGAAGGGACCTTGCGAGAACAGGGCTCCATTTCCCACTGCAGTTTACTGTGTAGCAGCTGTACTGTTTACAACTGTCTCCTCACATCCCAGAAAGGGCTTTCAGGAGCTGCAAAGGAGGTGAAAGATTCCATCATGCAAGTGGCATTTTGCTCACACAGTTGCAGATCCAACCCAATATTCTTAGAACCTAAGTCTCAATTCACTCTATCTCCATTTTACAGTCCTAGCAGCATGCCCAAATTATAACATTCTAAAGAGTGTAGATTTGACTACATTATAATCGATCTAAAAGAGCTATTGGTGGCTTTCATGAAGTAGACCCGCTAAGGGTTATAGACACCATATCAAACACTCACTGGTATTGCATAGTGATGTCACTGAAGTTCAAGTATTTCAAATATGAACTTTACAAATGATAATGTTCAGCTGCATCATGAATTGACTGTTGTTTCCCTGAGACGTTTCCCCCCAGCAAGGATTCTTGGAGACTGTCACTTCTTGAGAGGCTTTTAGTATTCAGAAAAGACACCAGATGTTCTAGAAATGTCATGTCCCAAGTTTTTGGAAGTTCAGCAGCGTCCTATCCACGAGAAGACCAGGGACAGGTAGCTTGCAGAGCTCTTAACATCCCTATTCCGGTGCTCTAGAACAGTCAAATTTCCATGAAACTGTGGTGCTTTGGCTGCTGCTATTTCAGTACTCCATGGATGAATGAAGGAAACCATTGATTCCATTTACCTCTACAAGACAAACTACATCTGTCAGAATTCCCTCTTACACACAACTATTAAAAGTATAAGAGGCCTGCCTTCAACATCTCCACTCCAGTATCAGTGCAAGTATACTACACTACTTCGAAATCCAGTATCACATGAGTTGACTTCTACTCATGTAGTGGGACATCTCATTCTTCTTCTCCCCCTTGCAGGCCCCTTTGCCTTCCAAATCTGTTCTTGAGTGTCCCCATATCTTCTGGAAAAGATTTGTGGGACACAAACAGCATCTGCAGGGGAAGGAGATGAAGGAAACATCTCGTGGCACACGGAAGTCCATTCTGCTAGTGGATGGGCACAACTTAATATCACTCACGAGTTCATTTCCCAGACAAACTTGAGCATGAGCTGCCAAATTCTTGCATAAAGCCTAAATTCCTCATTTCCCTTCAGATCAACTGGAAGAAAACTAGAACAGTTTCGTGTTTCAGTCAATGTTGCAGCTGCTGCCAAAGTTAACTTTGAACTCACATACGAGGAACTTCTAAAGCGAAAGCTGGGAAAGTACGAACTGCTGATCAAGGTCAAGCCCAAACAACTTGTTAAACACTTTCAGGTAAATTCTTGGAAGAGGCTCTTTCTATAAATGACACCAATTGCTGGCCCCATGTTGTAGCTGAAGGTTATGACTCTGAAGCATCTTTTTATTTTCTTCAGATTGACACCCACATATTTGAACCACAAGGTATAAGTGCATTGGAAACTGAGAGCACTTTCATCACCAATGAACTGAACAATGCTCTAACAAAGGTGCAGAATGAGACAAAGGTATGCATTATAGGGACTACAAGACTTAGCATGCTTTGTAAAAAAAAGAAAAATCACCGGCCCTCCTATTCTAGCTTGACTGATTGTTTGCTTTTGTGGCTCTTATTTAGGCCCACATTTCATTTAAACCAACCATAGATCAACAAAGAAAAACCCCTGGAGTGGATGACACACTGCTCGATGGAGATTTTCTCATACGTTATGATGTTAAAAGGAGTGAGACTGCAGGTGATATACAGGTAAAAAATTACTGAGAATTCAGAGTAATAGGCATCACTTAGCTAAATTCAGGGGGGGGCATAGGAAAAGGCCTATTTACAAATTGTATAATCTTAGTTTCAGGCAGCAACCCCTAAACCTTTGTTTGAAAAAGAACCAGAACTGAATTGTAGCATAATCTTCTTCCTGAAATTTAGATATTCCAGTCAGTTTTCTAGGTTCTTTAGTAAGAAAGAGAACAGCAACTTCCTTTAGACAAACAGTTGTTGGCTTCTCATTTTCCTAGTCTTCATGTAGTCTAAGGACATCCCTACAGTAATTTCACCACAGAAAACTAACTGCAAAGGCAAAGGGTCTCTAATCTCAGTTTAAAAGACAAATATTTTGTCTCTAGGAACACAAAACCTGTTGACATACCAGTAAAGCAGGTGTGTTTATCTAAAAGGCTGGTTTAAGCTGCAATCCTATGCTCACTTACCTGGGAGAAAGCCCTGTTGAACTCAATGGGACTTACTTTTCAGTAGACCTATGTAGGTTTCCACTGCTTATTGCTTTGTCTTCAGTTCATCTGCTCAGAAATTTCTAGAAGTCAAGATCCAAGTTTGGGGCAAGGGAGAACTCCAGCAGAGATTTAACATGGCAAAACATGCAGCAAAGCAAAGTGTAAAAATATCGGATGTAAATCCTTAAAATGTGCCCTTTTCAGCGAATTCCGAAATGTCTCCCTTTAAAATGTCCTTCCAAATTTTTCCACTTCCCCTGGCATAGAAAAAGACCACATCTGGTAAATTATAAAAATGGTTTACAGCGGTACCTCAGGTTACAGATGCTTCAGGTTACATACGCTTCAGGTTACAGATGCTTCAAGTTACAGACTCCGCGAACCCAGAAATAGTACCTCGGGTTAAGAACTTTGCTTCAGAATGAGAACAGAAATCGGGCGGCGGCGGCACGGCGGCAACGGGAGGCCCCATTAGCTAAAGTGGTACCTCAGGTTAAGAACAGTTTCAGGTTAAGAACGAACCTCCAGAACAAATTAAGTTCTTAACCCAAGGTACCACTGTACTTACAAACTCTCCTTGGGTCAGATAAATGTGCCTACTATAAAGGATTCAGAAAAGTTGCAGGGCAGCAAAATGTAGCTTGTTTACAAAATGCTAAAAGCTCCTAAACCAGGCATAGGCATACTTGGCCCTCCAAATGTTTTGGGACTACATTTCCCATCATCCCTGACCACTGGTCCTGTTAGCTGGGGATCATGGGAGTTGTAGGCCAAAAACATCTGGAGGGCCGAGTTTGCCTATGCCTGTCCTAAACTATTGGTATAGGAAAATGTTTGTTTCACACTCCATACTTGTCTCAAACAAAAGAGGCTGCAGCTCAAAGCTCCTCACACACCCATGTTCACATGTAGACTGAAGGAACGAAAGCTTGGTTACCTATTTCCTTCCAGGGTGAGGGGAAGCTACATAGGCTAAACCTGCTGGGACAGGTTACTCTATGACCTTAACCCCTTCATGCATTAATTAGATTCAAGCATGCTGGTTATATGAGGCTGGATTAGAAGCTGTGAAGGCAGAAAATAGCCATTGTGGCTATCAATAGCCTTGTCCTCTATGAATTTGTCTAATCCTCTTTTAAAAGCATCCAAACTGGTGGCCATCACAGCTACCTGTGGGAGAAGTTCCATAGTTGGACTTATTTTATACACTGCCGTGTTGAGATATGAATGTGTATATCTGAAGCTGAGGCTCCAATACTTTGGCCACCTCATGAGAAGAAGGGCCTCCCTGGAAAAGACCCTGGTGTTGGGAAAGATTGAGGGCACAAGGAGAAGGGGACGACAGAGGACGAGATGGTTGGACAGTGTTCTCAAAGCTACCAGCATGAGTTTGACCAAACTGCGGGAGGCTGTGGAAGACAGGAGTGCCTGGCGTGCTCTGGTCCATGAGGTCACACAGAGTCGGACACGACTAAACGACTAAACAACAGCAATATATGAATACCACTTGTTTTGTTTTCAGATTGTTAATGGATATTTTGTGCATTATTTTGCACCCAGTCAAATGCCAGCATTTCCCAAAAACGTGGTCTTTGTCATAGACACGAGTGGATCTATGAGTGGGAAGAAAATACGGCAGGTAATGTTTTTCCAAATAGAAAATGTTCTAGTGTTTGTGCCATGCTACGCCAACGGTATGTTAATTACCAGTGACAATAGCAGTATCTCTTTGACAGTCACAATGAATCTTTATGGAGTCTGCTATCCCACAGCAGGACCAAACTGCTCCTCTCTTTGAGATTTGAGAGCTGAGGCACATAAGAACAAGTGTTTTAGCTCCTTAGAGCCTTGCTCATTTACAGTAGTTTGGACTTAGTCCCTGTCCTATTTTTCAAGCCCACTGCCTCCTTGGCTGTTTATGCAAGATAGCCTTTAAAGTAAGGAAAGCAGTATTGTAGGACTGCCAATTCCCAGGGTCCACACATTCCGTTGTTCTCTCACTGGTACAATAGGTTTTTCTGGCTTTTGTAGCACCTCAAGCATCTCCCAGGAAAAGCTAGGCCACATTCTGGAAATCAGTTGGGTCTGTGTGTGCATAAAGCACTGGAGATGCATCACCCCTATTGCTACAACCCTAGAATTGCCTTTCTGGGAGGAATCTCAAAGGGCAAGAGAGGTACAGCAGTGCATGATGTGTAACGACACATTGCCACACCTTCTCTTGACTGAATTTACTTTAGAAGACCAGCAGCAGAGCATGTAAATTCTACTACAGTCTGAAACCAGCCACACAGTACCACCTCATCAAGTAAACTTCCCGGATAAATTGCTTTCTGTCAAGTCAATTTACTTAAGAGAAGGCCACAAGCATGCTGTTTAAAGAGGACATAGTCCCTTGTCTTGTCTTTTTTTTCTAGACCTTAGCAAATGATATTAAAGAGGGATGTTAATGGCCTAGGATGAAATTTAAAATGGGAACCAAATCAGTTACAACACAGACCAAAGCAGTTGTTCTGGGACACACCTTGCCCACAGCAACTTCTACATGCAGGGTCCTTCAACCTGCTTCATGGGCTACATTTTTTCTGCACAAAACCACTTCCATATTGGGGGGAAAAAAGAAAAATACATAGTTGTTTGGCTGCAGTTCTGTGTCCACTTACTGGGGAATAAGTTCCATTAAATGCAGGGGGACTTCTATATGAGCAGACATGCCAAGGATTAGGCTGCTAGACCCATACTCTGCAGAAATAGTTATTTAAATATAAGTCTAATGTTAAGTTTCTGATTCTGTGACTGGAAATTGCATTGCTTTATTACTTTTTATAGACAAAAGAGGCAATGAAAAAGATTTTGGAAGACCTTAATCCTGAAGATTACTTTAGCTTAGTTCTCTTTAGTGGAACTGTGAGGTTATGGACTTCATCTTTGTTGCAAGCTACAGAGGACAACGTGGAACGGGCTAAACGACATGTTGAGACCATTTCTGCTGGAGGATGTAAGTTTGTCAACTGAACAGACTTGTCAAGTTTTTCAGCAGAGTTTTAATCAGAAATGCTCACTGCAGTATATTTTAAAAGTCCATACCTAATTCTCAGGTGTTCAGTTTTTCATTCAACAGCTTCTTATTTTTTATGCTCAGAAATATGACCATATTCCTCCTCTATAATTGTTCAGTGTATTAACTCCCATTTGCATACTGTATGTCTAAACTTGCTCGTCTCCTGATTTTTCTTTGTGGACTTAGTGCTATTTTATTTTCTTTAAGCCCTAGATTTCTACTAGTCTAGGTCTTTTTGCTTTCTTTCCCCATATCCCCAGGGCAACATCTTGCCTTCGATGCAGGAGCAAATGCCCACCAAGGTGCCAAGTCAAGATATTTTGGCACAAGAAATAGAATATCCCACAAGGGCCTCTCCTCCCACCCCAGCAATTAAACATTGCAGTAATAATGCAAGACATGCCAAAGCACTTTATTGAGAACTCAAACAACCCTTAGGCATGAGAAAAGGCCCATCAGAAATCTATAGCATTATCCACCCTAGCGCCTAGTTTCTAGAGCATTTTTCTAAGGCCTGGGTTAAAACTCTGCCAGACCTTGGCAAACTGGAACACACATAAAACATGGGCTGGGTGAAAATAAAGCCTTTATTTATTTATTTATTTATTTATTTATTTATTTATATAACAGCAACATTAAGATTGAATGAAATTAATTTGCCTGTTTCTCTTAATTCAGTTGTGAAACTATTGACTGTACCCAGTGATTTCAGTAACTTTGCATTTATTTCTTTTGTGTTTGTCTTCTTTGTATGTTCAAAACTCATGGACTGGATTTCACAATATTGCAAATAAGAAATGAAATAACCATTAACTGGCTGCCTTTTCAAGACTGTCTAACTGTTGGGATGGCCCTGGCTGTCTCTCTCCCTCCATACCTTTGAAGCCTCCTCACTAGATCGCTGAAGAACAATATAAATCTCTGGTCAAATCCACTGACCTGTTTTCTTTCCCATTACAGCAACAGATATTAATGGTGCTCTTCAGAAGGCAATACACTCACTGGACAAAGACACCACAGCTGAGCTATTGCCAGACCAAAGCATTTCCATGATAATTTTGCTGACAGACGGTCAACCTACTACTGGTGAGTTAGAAACAGCAAAGCCACACATTCTGCTATTATTTTCATTTATATTTTTTATTTTTAATGCATACTTATCAACAATTACTTTAATTAGACATTTTCTGTGTGTGTGTGTGACCCCCTTTTCAAGCTCCTACTTCTCTTTCTCTTCAACAATTGGCATTTTCAAACCTTCCAGTAAAGATTCTCCCAATATCTTTGGATTTGGTTTTTACAAGCCCCTTAAACATTCAACATATCCATACAATTGACAAAGAGATAATCAAATAAGCAAAAAAGTCTAAACAGAGGGAGGAGGATGCTAAACAGAGAGGAGCTGAAGAATCACACACAGACTGATCCTCAGCAGAACTTTCTTCAAGCAGTTACAGCCTAAGTGGGAACACAGAATATCCTCCAGACATCAGCTTGCTGTATAAGTCTACAAAATTTCCTCATGTTTTATAACTCTCTTTCACACCTTCATTTACTTCGGACTCACTAGATTGTATGACTGCCAGAGGGGGGGAAAAACAATATAGCCTTTATCTGGCTACAATATAGTACTCCTGCAGTTTCTCAATAAGAAACAGGAAGTCCTAAATACAAAACATTTTTCTTGGTACAGAAGAAATATATATTATAGTTGAACACCGATATCCAATATTTGCTTCTGAAAGTTTTTTCTTTAATTGAAAAATCAGTGGGTGTTTGTAAACTCATTAATTTTTTTATACTCCCAACATCTGCTTGTTTCTTTCAAAATGCTGCATATTTAATTATTTTATCAGTGGCTGGGGTGCGTTCACATTTTATACCCATATATGACAGGTGAAACAAACATTGATAGGATTCAAAGAAACATACGGGAAGCTAATGAGGGGAAGTACTTCCTCTACTGCCTTGGCTTTGGATTTGACGTCAGCTACACATTTTTGGAGAAGATGGCTTTAGAAAATGGGGGAGTGGCTCGCCGTATATATGAGGACTCAGATGCAGCCTTGCAGCTCCAGGTAGGGGAGAAACAACAATCAAAACATATACATATGTTTTAAATGAAGAATCTCAAAACTGTCTTCAGGTAGGCCAAAATATTTCTCTATGGAAAGGAATTCAGTGTTGTGCTATAAGTTAAAAGGTAGGTAAAGGACCCCTGGATAGTTAAGTCCAGTCAGAGGCGACTATGGGGAACAGCGCTCATCTCACTTTCAGGCCGAGGGAGCTGGCGTTTGTCCACAGACAGCTTTCCAGGTCATGCGGCCAGCATGACTAAACCGCTTCTGGCACAACAGAGCACCATGACAGAAACTCGAGCGCACGAAAACACTGTTTACCTTCCCACTGGAGCAGTACCTATTTATCTACTTGCAACAGTGTGCTTTTGAACTGCTAGGTTGGCAGGAGCTGGGACAGAGCAATGGGAGCTCACCCTGTTGCAGGGATTTGAACCGCCAACCTTCTGATTGGCAAGCCCAAGAGGCTCAGTGGTTTAGACCATGGCGCCACTGCGTCCCTTGTTGTGCTATGGAAAACGTTCCGTCAACACGGAGCCTTCCCCTTTCTGTTTCCTATGCATGCTGTTCTGGGGGCTCTCCTGAGCACCCCAGAGCCAATTTTGGAGGGTGTGGGGGCACACGGAGGAAGGAGAGTGGGGGAGAGTCTCATTGCATTAACAGAAGCATTTGTGCAGGCTTTTGCCAATGGGATTTGTTCCTGTGGTTACCTTTTCTGTCTGTCTCATTCAAGGGCTTTTATCATGAGGTAGCTACACCTATCCTGAAAGAGATTGAAATGAAGTACCCAGACAATGCCGTACTGGAAATAACTCAGAATAATTTCAAGCTGCTCTTTGATGGCTCTGAAATTGTTGTAGCTGGAAAGCTCGGCAATGACGTTGATGATCTTCCTGTGGAAATTAAAGCTAAAGGAGTAAGTACTGAGGGGGGGGGGGAATGGCTTCTTTTGTATGAACAACTTTGGGCTGCATACAATGTTGGGTCCCCAACATTCTGTGATATATCCTGCTTTGAAACTAAAAACTCTGTGTCAGGTATGTCCCCTCAAAGAAGCTCATCAACAATTTTGGCTACCCTAAAAAAAAGCTCAACAACTTTGACCTGAACCTGAGTCTCTTAGGAGTTGGCTACCCCTGCTCTATTCTTTTCCTTTTATGTTTTTTTAAAGTATTTGAAATTCTTTAAAGGAAAAAATCCTTCATCCAAATATCCCAGGGAAGCTCACAATAGAAAAATACGAAATGAGAATACAAAATACATAATAAAACAGATATAAAAACAAACCATTGACGCTCCCTCCCACAAACACATTTAAGAAGCCATAGAAGGTTAATCAGCCGAATGCCTGTTGAAAAGAAACATTTTTGCCTGGCGCCTAAAGATATGCAACCAGGGGCGTAGCAGGGAGGGGGCTGATGGGGCAATCACTCCAGGCACATGGGGGGGGGGGCTGCTCCAGCCCCCTTCCCTGAGCCAGCCCTGAACTGCTTTGCAAGACCCCTCGGGGAGGGCAGCACGAGGGGGACACTGCAGTCATGCACCCTTGAATCCCAGCCTCTCCACAAAAACATGAGCTCACAATTGTCTTCTTTCTATTGTTTTATTCATCATTTGTTCATTTTATGAATGCAATAGATGCCTACTCTTCTCTCTCCCCTCCAATTTTAAAAGTTTGCTTAAATAGGTTTTCCCCTCTAACATCAGTTTGTGTAGAAAACAGTATTTGTTGCTTATACAGTGGTACCTTGGGTTAAGTACCTAATTCGTTCCAGAGGTCCGTTCTTAACCTGAAACTGTTCTTAACCTGAAGCACCACTTTAGCTAATGGGGCCTCCTGCTGCTGCTGCGCCGCCGGAGCACGATTTCTGTTCTCATCCTGAAGCAAAGTTCTTAACCCAAGGTACTATTTCTGGGTTAGCGGAGTCTGTAACCTGAAGCATATGTAACCTGAAGCGTATGTAACCCGAGGTACCACTGTATTCAGACTGAGTGTTACTTTGAATAACTCGCACTCTCCGCTCGTTTTCCAGCATGCCAGTGAACTTACTCTTAAAGAAGAGGCAAATATAAGAGAAAAGGAGCAAGTATTTCAGCATCAGAAATACATCTTCGGAAATTTCATTGAGAGATTATGGGCCTATTTGACAATTCAACAGCTACTAGAAAAATCGTAAGCTAATAGTAGTGTGGCAAACTACCCCAATCTCCAAGCAGTGTGAGATTACAGGGGTTCTGTGTGCTTATCTAGGGTTCATGCTTCCCTTGGAATGAGACTGTGGTGTCTTTATGATACAGTCATACCTTAGTTGTAAAATGGAATCAGTTCCAGAAATCTGTTCGACTTCTGAAAACGTTCAACAACCGAAGTACAGCTTCCAGTTGGCTGCAGGAGCATCCTGAACTCAATCGAACGCCACGTCAGATGTTCAGGTTCCAAAGAACGTCGCAAACCAGAACACTCACTTCTGGGCTTGCAGCGTTTGGGAGCCAAAACATTCGGCTACAGAAGCGTTCAGGATCCAAGGTATGACTGTATATGGTTTATTTACACATACATACAAACACAGCCTCTGATGGAGGGGTTCACAGCATTAACTCCTCAAGAGGATTATTCTTCTCCTATAGCCACAACCTTGGATCCCAACAGAAATCAGGCATGGCTCTCTCTCTCTCTGGCTACCCGGCCCACAGCTTTGCTTCCAGATTCTAGCTCCCATGACTTAACTCCCAACCCTGGCCTTTATCTTTCTAACTACCAGCAAGTTGCGGGGGGGGGCACCCATTTGCTATCTGGCACATATCCACTTCTTTTGTTACCTTAACAGTCCATGACCTCACCAGGAAGCTAGCCTGGCTATTCCAGGAATTTGAATCCTTGATTTGTTTTTAACACTTGCTGAATCCAGGGATTAGAAGGGTTTCGGATTCAGCCTACTCCCTCACAACTCATAACACAATGTAAAGTGAGTAATAGTTGCTTAGTGACTTGAGAAACACTTCTTTCTGCAAGATCTTGGCTCATGCTGATAATCCCTTGGCTTTCATTATTGTAGTCACATCCACACCATATATTAAAAATTGATATTTTATTGAAAAATTTTCAATTACAAAACAATAAAGTGATGCAGAAAGGGAAAAAGAACAAAGAACAAAACACACAACTGTGTAAAGGAGGCAAAAGCATTATATGAATACATACAAAAATACCCTAACCCATACATTATTTTATATATTTGATATTAATCTAAAACTAAAGTAAATATATATTTAAAGCTCATAGGTTCCTCCACAGAATCCCAGGAATATAGTTTGTTATAGGTTCTGGCAATTGTGAGGAAAATTACATTCACACAATTCTTTGGGAGAAGCCATGACTGTATAAATGTGCTTTAAATATATTGTGTGGCTATGTCTGTTTCAGTGAGAGGGTGTAAATCATAGCAGGTTGTATCAAACTCAATTACTGTGCACATGAAACAATGTCTGCAAGCACAGCACAACTCCTCCCCATCTTCTCCCCTTGCTTGTCCACCAAATCTATTCTGGGTTCCCCCACCCCAAACCCTTCAGAGCAGGTTAGAGGCTGGTGTAGGGGGCCCATGGGGGTAGGAGAAGGAGGGGAAGCCCTGTTACACTTGTGGGTGTTGTTCTGTGTGTGCAGTTATCTAGTTGGATACAAGCCAACATTCCTAACATAAAACCCAACGCATATACGTAAGTCTCTGTATTTTGTTTCACTGGATCATGTGTAGAAAGCAGACAGTGCAGATTTTGCCTCTGTATTCTAGTGCTTCAGCTGATGGAGAACAGCGGGAAAACCTGGAAGCTCAAGTTTTGAACATCTCCTTGAAGTTTGGATTTGTTACACCCTCACTTCCATGGTGGTCACCAAACCTGATGCTCAAGAGGTGGCAAACAAGCCTACAGAGGCAGGTAACTCAGAACAAATTGCTCCCATCTCAAACTGAAGTGATTCATGCATTTATCTTTTGAATCTCATCCAAGTTCAGTGCTAGAAGAATGAGTTGAGAGCTCTGGCTATGCGGGCGTGTTGGGAGAGTGGTAAAACAGTCAGATAGAAGTATAATTATTGAGACAAGGATAATGATAAATGTAGCTTATAATTATGTGAAGAAAGGTGAAGTCACTGATGTGATAGCACTGGTATGTTACTGGTGCTGAATATACCTTTCATAGAATCATAAAACTGTAGAGTTTGAAGGGATGCCAGAAAACACAACTAAAGAATCCCTGGCAGATGGCCATCTAACCTATGTTTAAAAACTTCCAATGAAGGAACGTCAACCACTTTCGAAGGGAGTCCATTCCACTTCTGTCAGAAGTTCTTGCTGATGTTTATTTGGAATCTCCTTTACTGTCATTTGAATCCATTGGTTCATTGGTTTCTGGAGCTGCAGAAAACAAGCTTGCTCCATCTTCCACATGACAGCCCTTCAGATAGTTGAAAATGGCTGTCAAATCACCTCTTAGTCTTCTCTTCTCCCATCTTAACACCCAATAGCCTCAATCATTTCTCATAAGGCTTGGTGGCCAGACCCTTGATCATCTTGGTTACCCTCCTCTGCACATGTTCCAGCTTGCCAATATCCTTCTTAAACTGTGATGCCCAGAATTGGACACAGGACTCCAGGTGTGGTCTGACCAAGGCAGAATAGAGTAGGACTATTACTTCCCTTGGGGACACGGGTGGCGCTGTGTGTTAAACCACAGAGCCTAGGACTTGCCGATCAGAAGGTCAGCGGTTCGAATCCCCACAACGGGTGAGCTCCCGTTGCTCAGTCCCTGCTCCTGCCAACCTAGCAGATCAAAAAGCACGTCAAAGTGCAAGTAGATAAATAGGTACCACTCCGGTGGGAAGGTAAAGGGCTTTTCTGTGTGCTGCTCTGGTTCGCCAGAAGCAGCTTAGTCATGCTGGCCATATGACCTGGAAGCTGTATGCCGGCTCCCTCAGCCAATAAAGCGAGATGAGTGCCGCAACCCCAGAGTTGGTCACGACTGGACCTAATCAGGGGTCCCTTTACCTTTATTACTTCCCTTGGTCTGACAATAGAAAATAGTGTGAAATGCTTAGAATGATATAATAGGCAGACTCTTTGGCATTATTCCTGATTTGGTTTGTGGTTTTCAGCAATAGAATTTGGTGAGTGATTGTCTGTTAAGTCATACTGAGACCCATTAAAATCCAATAACTTCATTAATAAGTAACTTAAGTCTATTGATTTCTATGAATCTAGAATGAGTATGAGGAACGTTGGTGACATATCTTTTCTGGTTTCCACTGAGCAATTTATGTACGCCAAAACTGTGAAATCGTACTATTGTTGTGAAATAGTTTTCTCAAAAAGGTCAATCAAGAAAGGTGACAGATTAGCACACATTACTTCCCAATAGCACCAAAAGGCTATGGCATAATTCGAGGGGGCAAACACAGGAGAAATAAAAATTGAGATGGAGCTTACAGTCCATTGAAGCTGTCTTTGTTTCTTTGACCAGATAATGAGAATGTAAACACTGCTGCAGATCGAATGTTTGGTATGTAATCTGATTCAACAATTAAATACCAATAACTTATTCCTAAGAATTTCTATACTGTGAGAAAAATGATCTAACCATGAGACTCTCTCATAGGCATGAAGAAAGCTTCTAGAATCGTAGGAGGTAGCGATCCTCTTGACACCTCCTGGAGTTATGGTATGAAATCTTCACGAATTTACTGCTACAGCTCCACAGTCTGTTTTCTGGAGTGTTGAGAACTGAGGCACTTATCTCTCTCCTGTACAGAAGTTGCAGAGTCACTAAAAATCCGCCAACAGCAATGCTGAAGTCATATGGGGTTAGAGTGGCTCTGTTTCTCTCTGGAGATGCGGAGCCAGAAGGAGGGTTTGTCTTCGTGTGCCATTGGACACAGCCATGTGAAGTTGGACACACAATGTGTGCAGTTGGAAAAAGGAGGGGAGGGAACTAGAAGGATTATATTTATGTCAGGGATAGTATGGACACAAATTGTATTAGGGTACAATGTGCTTTGCTTCCATACTTACGCATATTGAAACACTTCCTTCTTTTTCAGTAAGAACATCTTGGTCAGCGCAAATAGGTAACGGTTTCGATTTCCATCCACAATATCTTCTACCCGATATTCAAGATACCGGTAATGCTCCATCACATTCTTGTATGGTTTAGGCTTATCTTGCCCTCTGTGTTCCTTCTTCTGCAGCCATTGTAAAATAGTTGGTCCCTGGGAGCCAATGGTGGCATATTATAATGGACGTAAAAATTACAGCTTTCTGTTTCCACAGATGGTTGGGCCTGCCTCCTACTTTTAAGTACAGGACTCTCTGTGCCAGTGCTATGGGTTTGGCCCCAAGTATGCAGACAGGACAACATTAGTGTTCTTGTAATTTGGTGATTGCAAAGAATTGGACCTTTCCTCTCAAATCAATGGAGTATACACTCTTAGCACACTCAATGCACAATATTTAAGAATTAAAGATTATTTGTTTTTTTGTTTTCTTGGAGGAGTGCTACACTCACCATTTTCTTCTCCCTGCTCCCTACAGCTGGGTATGCGAGGCAGAGAAAACTACTACTAATTTGATAATCCCTTTTCTCTTTCTTAATCTCATGATGGTGAGTTTGATTCCTGCATTGCAGAGAGTTGGACTAGATGACCCTTGGGGTCCCTTCCAACTCTATGATTCTATCATTAATCAGTTTTGTGAGACTTTGGTTTTTGTGTAATTTTCTTAGTCGCAACTTGAGGCAGAGATAGCCTTGGGAAGGATTGCAAGTGGGGAGGGTCTCTGTATGGGGTCCTGAGGTCCTTGCTCCCAACTAGAGCTTCCAGGTTTTTGCTTTCCCTTCATGGGTAAGGGATTGTGAATAGCTGCTTTATAATTGGCTTAGCGTTGCTTCCAGGTGATAAGTTATTGAGCATTCATCCTCATTTGTTTGCAGAATGTTTTCAGGGAGGTTATATAATGGCTCTGGTTTAAGATTTACTCTGATTTGTTTGCAGGGAGGTTGTACAGTGCTGCATCAAAAATTTGTTATCTCACAATTTCCAGTGCTTTTTCCTGCCACATTCTTTACTGCAAAAAGTCTCTCTCTGTGTGCAAGAGCATCAAATATGCTTTAGTTGTGCAACCTGAATTTGTCAGTGTGAAATTGCATGACACCCACAAAATGTTAAGTTCAGTGTTCTTGGGAAAGGAGGAATGCTTATTTTTCCCCCTTGAGAATAAATATGCATGAAGCTGCCAGTGTTCACTTTCTGAGTGTTTTTGCCTGGCAGATTTTGCCCTGTTTCAGGGACATCAAGTGGCATTTCTCCTAGATGAATCTTTCAGCCAAATGTAGTTGGCAATTGATATACAGTATTTAAAAGCCACTTGGCAGTATTGTTTGCTGCATAGTGATTGTGATTTAAAAAATATATTAGGACAAATTTTTAGGGGTAGCAATGTGTCCCTATACCTTAAGTGGGACATGTTAAATAAAAATAAGAATCCTGCTAAATAAAAATACGAATCCTGTTAAATAAAAAATAAGAAAAACAAAAACAAAAAACAGAACCCCAGTCCATATGACCAGCGATGAGACATGATGGAAATCATAGTCCAAAATCTCTGGAGGACACCAGGTTATGGAAGGTTGATCTACCTATGTATATACCTATGTAGTATAACAGCAGAAAATTAACAATTTATATATTTTTGGGTTATTTAGATTATGCGGATTATTCATACACGTTGCTGGGGAGTCACCCAGGTGAGTAATTCACACTTTATTCTCTATTAATATATTTTCCCCTCCATGAGGTGTTTCAGATATGGGTACATGTATTTGGAATCCCACTGGTAAGGTGGAGGGGAGCAACATTCAAGACTAAGTGGGGAAATGTTTGGTGAGGAACAGGTTAAGCAGCACCCAGGCCACTCCTCAGAACAAATTCAATCCCCCAGCATCCCCAGGTGGGGCTTGGAAGGACTTCTGCCTGGAACCCTGCAGTCAGTGTAGACAGTCCTGAGACAGATAGATCAATGGCCTGACTCAGTATAAAGCAGCTCCTCTCTTCCTAAATTCGCAGCCTTCTGAGGTTGCTGTTCTTTTTTATATAAAAAAACCCCCACAGACAACCTTTTCAGGTTTGTTAAGAGTGTGTGTGTAATATGTAGCATGTGTGATTTGGGAATTGAGAAAACTCAAAGTGTTACCTTCCTTAGTGCTTGTCCTGTCTCTATCGCTTAATTTTAAGTCCACTCTACGAGGGCTTTGTCATATATGAGCAGGATGACTTTGGGCCACCAGCCACCATTTGGAATCAATATGGAAGACCCAAATATAGCTTTGACATGACTTCACTGAAGGTTTGGCAAGAAAGGTCCAAACTCACAAATTGCACTATTAAAAATGACAATATTTTTTGGTTTCTACTGATTCCTAGGCAACGTTCAGTCTCTCCCAGACACTGTTAATGAGTATCCAAGTTTCATTCTTCAACTGACTCATGAAAAAAATCCCATTTGTTTAAATATCAATGGACAGTTGCAAACACCCATAATCCTGCTAACTGATACAGACAAAGGTAAGCCTTCTAATGTAAGCTGCTGTCAACTCCCCAACTTTCATGTCAAGCATTTTGGTTGTTTCCAGAAATCTGTGTGAGTGCATTTTATTTGACAATGAAATACATCAAAACTACTGACCAGGGAATTCTCAACACTATTGGTCTTGTAGAGCTTACACTGAAAAATGTTGTGACATGGTTTTCTGTTGCTAATATCATGCATTAGTCAGAATACGTGGTTTTACATGTCTCATTCCAGTTGTTCAAAGTGTTTCACATATTTATTGTAGAAATCCTTCCTGCAACATTGAATCACATGTCTCACTTTTTAATATTGTTATTTATTGTTATTATTTCATGGTCCATAGGCCAACATAGTACTTAATCAGTACTATTTGTTTTAAAGGTTGAGGGTCCAATTTCAGAGTTTACTTCTTTTATACCTGCCTGTATCTTCTCTCTATCTGTCATCACATGTCTTATGTACATGTTATGTACATTTGTCAATACTAACCAACAAATATAGGCTAGTTGTGTCATCTGGTTCTAGCTGTAGCTCTTGCAATTCGGGCCAATTGTGTGATTTCAGGAGGCATTCAAAAAAGGTGACAAGAAGTGCTGGTAACACATGGAATTTGTTGCTCTTGAGCTTATATCACAGTTTTATTTATATTAAATTGCTGCTTAGTAAACAGCAATATGTTTCTTGCGTATGATCCTCATATTTATTTTGACTATTATATTTTCAGGGATCCAAGTGACTGGCAAGCTTGGAGAAAACAGAAAGTTTGTGGAGTTCAATGTAATCTATCAGACACCCAATGTGCAAATCAAAGTGTCAATGGGAGAAATTATACTGAATGATCAGGGCAATGTGAACTCTTTCCCATGGACAAAGAATGCATCTTTAACAACTAGAGGGTAAAATTTGATATTTTCAGTTTCTTTCCAGTGTTGGTTGGTTTGACTTTGAGGCTATACCTAATGCTACTTTTACATTCTTGAATTCCTAAACTTGCATAATTTTTCAAAGTGCAAGCCGAACTGTTCATGCATCCAAATAACAGCATTAATGTGAAATTCAGTGGATTCCCTCATTTTGGGACTTTAAAAAATATTGGTTTTCTCTTTGAACAAAGCATTTTAATTTCCTATGAACTGAGGTAGGTGCTTCATAATATATGTTAGCTTAGACTGGCGAGAAGCAGTTAGTTGGCCAGAAAATAATGAAATTGACTCAGTATCTCAAGCTGAAATGTTTCAGTGAATTGTGCCCACTGAGCTTTGTTCTGGTTTATTTCGTGGCTTGGATGTCACAGCATCCAGATACAATTGGCAGTGGTGCCGTTTTGGACAGCCTTACTGGAGGGGGTGTTGGGGGCATAGAGTTACAGTGACACCAATCATGAGATTATATCTTGCCCCCCATACTTTTTAACACCAGTGCGAAACAACTGAAGCTAATCTTAGGAAGACAGTGGAACCCTGAATTGGTGTCTGGAGAGTGTCCTAATCAAAATCAAATGATTTCAATTTCAGGAGCTGATTTTACCTTTAAATGTAAAGCCCTAAATAGTTTAGGGTCAAGTTATTTGCAGGAACCCTATAAACGTGCTAAAGCAAGATGGTAGCCGCCTGAGACAGAATCTTTTCAATTGTGGCCCCACATCAGTGGAATCTCCTCCTCAAAGATCTTTGTAAGACACCTTTTTGGTTGTTTTTACATGGTCTCTTAATTTTTTTTTAGTTTTCTAAGCTTTCCCTAATGATGACTTTGTCTTTCAATGTTTAAGCCTCTCACTCTAATACAGTCTTATATTGCTTTTTCCATGGTGTTCAATTTCTATTCTGATTGTAATAATTTTTACCTGTTGCTGGTAACTATTGTGTCATAAGAAGAGTGTAAATATTTTTTAAAAATAAGAAATGCAACAAGAACCAAATGCAGAAATACCTATTATGCCACCTTGAAATTGGGATTGCAGATCAAGAGGTAATTCAGGGAATATTGAATTGTTACAATACATATAGTGCCACAACTCTACAAACATTTGGTATTCTATAGTAATAATGTATATATTTCTATATATTAATATTTATTCATTTATTTCAACATGTATATATTTAGAAATAACAGCATCACTTCCTTCCTAGGTTGAGCTTTCTTATTGAAAAGGAAAGGAGTCTTTCACTATCAGGACCAGATGGTATCACAATACAAGTTTACTATATGAAGAACCCTCTTAATTTCCTTGGATTGCACTTCAAGAATAGTGAACTTTTTTCTAACAACATTGTTGGACTTTTTGGTATGTATTCAGATTTTGCAATGAGGTAGCAATCATCATGCTATTTACCAGTAAGCTTGGTTTTGATGTAGCACTATAACTTAATATTGTATATCCTTGGAACAACGCTGAAAGGAAATGAGCATGAATGTCTCTACATTTCAGATGGAGTGGGGATGAGAAGGGGAGCCCTGATTTAGTGGCTTTCCTAAGTCACCTAGTCAGTTCATGACACCTTAAGTTATGTTTCAACTGGCAACTGTCTGGTCCACAGCTCAATCTCTCCGTCACTACACCAATACTTGTGAGAATTGGGGTGGTGCGGCTACATGATTGTCAGGAGAGCCACCGAAGATCTTCCTCAGTTTCCAGGCCCAACCTGATGTTCTTACTCCTATCTTTGGAGAGGGAACCCGTGTCAGACTCTTGGCCATGGCTGCCTCCTCCCTGGGGCTCACCGTTCCTCAAGTACAAGGCAGCTCCACCTCAGAAAAGTGGACAACTGTTGAATAAATGTCTAGAGAAAACTCGGAGAAACTCTGAGCTTGTTGTTTTATGAGTAAAACTACCTTCTCATGTTTAATTATTGATTATTATTCATAGTAGGCGCAAAGTGTACTGCAGTCTATCCATTTTGTTTGCTATAGGCCTGTCAAAGGCCATGGTGAGCTGCCCCCCCAAAAAAACACTTCCATCAAGAACTACACTAGACGGTAGTCAACTGCATCCTAAAATCAAGCAGGAATTAGCCTTTATTGGAAGGGGGGTGGGACGCGTATTGCAGCTGCTCCAGCATAGCTTTGAGAACTGCAGTTATTTTCCTGTGTTTTTCTTTGTGTTCCCCAGGTCAGTTTTACTCTAATAAACGTCTTCAAAGACACAGCAATAGAAAGAAGACATTGACTGTACAAGGACAATCATATAGTTTCACAAGGTAAAAGCCACAAAAAAACACTTGTTGTAGACTATATGAGTGTGTGTGTGTGTGTGTATGAGAAACTTGTTAAGATATCCGTACTTTGTCTTCTTTTCTCTAGCTAAAAATGCCCAGGTACTCTGAGCTTCTCTTTCACTACATACCTTACACTGCTCTGCAATTTGGGAGGGGGCGGTATTTTACATGAAGAATGTTGAAAGTGATATTAAAATATAGAAAATTGGAAGTGTTTTTCTGCAAATGCAGCTCAAAACAGTGTTGTCATGAATTTTCATATCAGCAAAGTATTTGTGGCCCTTTAGGACCCTCAAGGAACAACCCACACCTTTTCTATGCACATAAATATATATATATTATGCTTGAAATGCAACTTTCCCCCAACTCAAAAATTTTGAGTCATCCCCATGCCTTTCAGGTCTTCAGCACATTCATTAACCTCTCCCTTGTTACTAGCTTTCCTCAGCCAGTTCCCCCCGTCTTTGCCAACAAAAAAAAGTTACACTTTGTGAAGGAGCGGGGGGTTAACATCAATGGGGAGGGCTTATTGAGTCCTTGGACCCAATGTCATGCCAACCCTTACCTTGCCTGCTGCTGTCAATAAAGATTTGGCCTGGTTTTATCCCATCACCATTGTGCAGTCTTCTTGTTTTGCTGCTCTCATGGGTCACATAATGCGCCTGCCTGGGCAAATGAATTTTGCTATGCAGTTCTCCAACCAACCAATATTTTCAAAAATGCATATATTAGGGGGAAATGTGCATACAAATGTTAGTGAAAATGACATACAAAATGCATTATATTAGAGGAAATTATATTAAGAAATGTGTTCATTAGTAAAAAAACACATCCCAAAATGTGTTTATTAGGAGAAATTTGCATTGAATGTTGATGAATCTTCATGAGGATTTTTCATTTTTATACTGTGAATTGCTGCACAAATGTGGAGGGCTGAATTTAAGATGGAAAAAAATGAGAAATGGAGATAAGTGAAATTGGCAGATCCTTTCATCCCATTTGCAAAGGAAAGGGGGTTGCTAGCAAAAATCAGGGGAATGGCTATAAATGCAGTCACGTTAAAACAAAAATCTTTTGCAGGGGAATAACTGAGAAGCCCATGTGACTTTCAAGGGGGCTTTTACTTTCAATGAGAACTTATTGTTCTTTTCTCTTTCGTTTTTAAGGCAAAACAAGAAAGATTACAGGATTGAATCGGGAGCCAATGTCAATTTTGCCTGCTGGTCACTGGATATAACTCCTTGAAGAACAGCATTTAAAGCAGTAAAAATGTCCATCTTTTGTATTAAGTGTAACTATTACATTTCATTTCAGTGATAACTATTAAAATTGTAAATGTTTAATGCAGAATTTTAAATGTTGTGGAGCCACATCTAACTGGACAAATTTCAGGGCAGGCTTTTGTTTTGTTTTTTGCTAATTTGGCAACACAGACAAGGAACAAAAAATTATCATTTATGGTTACTAAAAGGGAGGGAACCAGTTTGACAAAGACACTGTGTGGGGTGGGGTTGTACACAATCTATAATACACTTACTAAAAATATTCTGAAATCTACTGCTGTTCAGGCTCTTGTTTTCACCTTTATTTCACACAAAATACACCATCTCCTAAGGAAGAAAGTGCTGTAGAAAGTCCTCTTCACTTAATGTGTTATTATATCATGTATTAAATACAGTTATGGTGGTACAGACATTCTAGATGGATTTTGGAACAAACAAATCACAATGTAAACACCTGCCATGTATATATGATTAATGCTATTTTTAAACAACATTTCAAGAATCCTTAGGTTTCCAGCAGGAGGGTCACCCTGCTACCACTGGGGGAATGGGCTTTTTCACTAGCATGGGTCATGCTATCCTGATGATGCCATGTCCTATCAGCTCCCATACCACCAGTGTAACATGAGAAGGGGACTAGAGACAGTCCCAGGAAATCCTGTATTCCTATTCCATTATGAGGGGTTAAACATTGCTCCATTAACTCAAATACACTCACAGTCCACTTTGTGATTAGGGTGCCTAGCTCACTTCAATAACAGTATTACAACATTCCTCTCAGAAATGCCCCAATAGTCTTTCTATGTTCCAGTTTGAGAGCCAGTGTGGTGTAGTGGTTAAGAGCGGTAGTCTCGTAATCTGGGAAACCGAGTTCGCGTCCCCACTCCTCCACATGCAGCTCTGGGTGACCTTGGGCCAGTCACACTTCTCTGAAGTCTCTCAGCCCCACTCACCTCACAGAGTGTTTGTTGTGGGGGAGGAAGGGAAAGGAGAATGTTAGCCGCTTTGAGACTCCTTAAAGGGAGTGAAAGGCGGGATATCAAATCCAAACTCTTCTTCTTCTTCTTCTTCTTCTTCTTCAGTTTCATGCACCCTGTATTTAAAGAGGATAAGAAACAGTTGACTTAAACTTCATTTTTACCATACCATTTCACCCCAAAGTGCCTTCAAATTCACATTACCAGTATTGTCCATTCATTTCCAAAAGTATAGACTTAGAAATATGGAAATCCGTTTTTTAGATTAGGTCATAATAAAATTCATCCATCTAGTTCTGTAATGGCTACTCCAGCTAGCAATGGCTTTCCAGGGTCTCTGGAAGAAGGTCTGATCCATTTAGTTGCAGATATCAGAGACTGGACTTGGGACGTTCTACAAAGCAGGCACTCTGCCACCAAGCTACAGTCATTCATGGCTGCCAAAGGAGCCATTAAATCAACATTTAAGAAAGAATTTGCCCTAGCCCATTGGAACAGCTTCAAAGCATTAGGCTTGCAAAACTACATATACAAAAGAGCTGTCCTCATCCAAGACTGTACTCACATAGAGTTCCAAACAATCCCCACACAGCTCCTCTTCCGAAGCACACTTCTGATCAATGGTATTTCTGAAAAACTATACGTGAAGACCTTTGTGCTTCTCTTAAAGAAACAGTGAGGAGGTCAAATGTCTGTTTATCTAAAGCCAATAGATAATCCAAATATAGTACATTTGCAAGATGTTTGCCTGCCAAATGTGTGTGCTGTTCTGGTCATTTCACCTCAAAGCAGTTGGAAAAGGTTCAGAAAATGGCAACCAAAAAGATTGTGGGGATGGAGTGAGTCCCCTATGAGAAAAGTTTGCAACATTTGGGACTTACTTGATTATAGAAAAGGTAAGAGGTGACATGGTAGACATTTATATAATTATGCATGGCCTGGAGAACGTTTAAAGCTTCAGGACAGATATTTTTAAAAGTACTTCTTCATGCAGCTCAAAGTCATATGGACTCACTCCCACAGTAAGCAGTGATGGCCATAAACATGGATGGACACAGACAGCTTTCAGTGTCATGTGGCCAGCATGACTAAACTGCTGGTGTTACGGAACACCGTCACAGAAGCCAGACCGCACAGAAATGCAGTTTACTTTCCCGCCACAGCAGTAACTATTTATCTACTTGCACTGGCGTGCTTTCAAACTGCTAGGTTGCAGGAGCAGAGACACCGCAAGGTGGGCGCGGTGTGCCCCGGGTGCCACCTCTGAGGGGGGTGAGAAAATGCTGTGCGGCAGTCAACGGTTGTGATAGATGCTGTTGCTTTGGTGTGCACAGGCTTCCCGCTGCCAAAACGGTCCGCCCAGTGGCTCTCCCTCAAGTGTATGGCGGCTGGCAGGCTCCTCACCACAAGGCACGCAATGTCCCCCCTCCCAAAAGGTTGGCTCTGCAAAAGCTCAACAACTTTTAACACCCCCCCCATGAAATAAAGTCAACCCATTGTTGCAGGCAACTAATAATAATAATTCAATGTGGGGGGGGGGGTTGACAATAAATTTTCCACACTGGGTACCACCTGACCTTGCTCCGCCACTCGGCAGGATCTGGGACAGAGCAACGGGAGCTCACCCTGTCGTGGGGATTTGAACCACCGACCTTCTGATCAGCAAGCCCAAGAGGCTCAGTGGTTTAGACCACAGCGCCACCCATGAAGGATAAAGCAATAAATGGCTACTAGCCAAAATGGTTATTTTACCCCTCCTGGCTTTTCTTTTTCTTCTCTCTAGCAATCTTGTGTTCTTTATCACACAAACACAAACTTTCTTCTCCATTGTCCCCTTTCTTTTCCAGAGAACACATGCACACACACACTTTAATTTCCATTGTCCATAGACCTTTTAAAAGCTGTCCATAGATATCAAGGGACAAATCTAAAATTTCTCTTCATTTGTAATTTGGCAACAGATTCCCCCCCCCCTCAAAAAACAAACAAACCCCACAATGGCAGCAAAGAGAGGGACCTCTGCTCTTCCTAGGTTCCACTGGTTTATTTAAAGAACAAAACTGGGGGGCAATGTGGGGGGAGTTTCTGAAAAGCAGAACCTATTTGAATGCAAGTCAGTGGAGTATGAGACCTTCTGATACTAGTGAGGGTGGGAAATCTAAGCTAGTCTCAGCCGCCCCTCTGACCTGTCATATTCAGAGTGGTTGCAGAGCTGCTGTAAGTCTCTCTCTCTCTCTCTCTCTCTCTCTCTCTCTCTCTCTCTCTCTCTCTCTCTTTCTCTCCTGCTTCCCAAATTGTAATAAATGTAAACCAGTGAACCACATTACAGTATTCATGAATGTCACAATCCAATGCTGACATGTAACATAGAGGTAACAGCACTAGAATACAGGGTTGTTATAAACTACTCTCTCAGCCTGACCCCTCAACCTACAGTATTCAGCAAGAACTACACTGCAGGGCTGTCATAAGCCACTCCAACCTGCAATATGAGGCCAGAGTTCCTTTCCAACCTGAAGTCTGCAGTATGCAGATGATATGCCCAGAAAATATAGCAACCTTGTCATTATTAGCTGTGAAGACATGTGACAGTTTTTAAATGTTTTTGATGTTCTTATTTAGGCATTTACTGAATTCCATTTATGAATTGCTTCCTATGAAACACTGCAAAGTGATTAACAATAATAACATCAAAAATTAAAACAATTTCATATATCAAACCATCCAAATTCCATGCAGTTACTGGGATAAAAATCCCCAGTTGAAAAAGTTATTGGGAAAATTGCTGGGGGGGAAGGTCTTCAATAGGCACTGAAAAGACGATGGGAATCAATGCCTTCAGTCAATTTGGGTTTCCCTGAATTGCAGAAAGAATGCATGTTTTTGAAATGTAATGCTGCAATCAAACTTTGTTCAGCATATTTGCCTAAGTTGCTTAATAAATCAAGGACAGGGGGAAAAGTATGTAGAAATAAGGGGTTAAATAAACAAGCAGGAAGAACAAACAAAAAATCAGCACTAAGTTCAGGGTCACCCAAGGCAGTAAGGTCAAAGGGAAAGAGCTAGACAAAGAATGATCCAAGAAGTCCTCAATGGCAGAACAGGTGAAAGATAGCAAGTGGTATGTTACAATGGCTGTGAAGGTGGATAAAGGCTGCAGCAGATAAGAATCTACCAATCATTGTGACACTGCGAAGACTGTGTGTTGGTCAACTGATCTACACACTTAAAACAAATTCACGCACAGGTGTCTTCCAAGAACCCATCCTAAACCCCAATCCAAATGTCCCATGGTAATCAGCAAATGCTAATGGGGGGAGGACCATGAAATCTGGAAGCCCCTAGACATGAACCAGCACATGGTCAGTGGATACAGATTCAGTTGTTCTGATTCAAGGAATGAGGCAGTTGAGTACCTCAGCAGGATCCACTCTGTTCACCCTGAGAAGGGGGAGGGGCTAGACTGGCTTGGGAAGACAGGTGAACTAATGCCAGTGGACTGGAAGAAGCAAAGATCACCAGTGCTGAAGCAAGGATTCTTCAGCACCAACTTTGTTGGACTGGTCATGTTGTTTGGTTGCCTGATTATCATCTTCCAAAGCAACTACTCTATTCTGAACATAAAAATGGAAAGTGTAATGCTAGTGGTCAACAAAGGAGGTTTAAAGACTCCCTGAGATCTAGGGGTATAGGGTGGTATACAAATTTAATAAATAAAAATATAACAATTGCACTTTGCCAGTGTAGTAGTGAGGATAATGTTATTCCCTCATCCCTCAAAAACAAACAAACCCCACAATGGCAGCAAAGAGAGGGACCTCTGCTCTTCCTAGGTTCCACTGGTTTATTTAAAGAACAAAACTGGGGGGCAATGTGGGGAGTTTCTGAAAAGCAGAACCTATTTGAATGCAAGTCAGTGGAGTATGAGACCTTCTGATACTAGTGAGGGTGGGAAATCTAAGCTAGTCTCAGCCGCCCCTCTGACCTGTCATATTCAGAGTGGTTGCAGAGCTGCTGTAAGTCTCTCTCTCTCTCTCTCTCTCTCTCTCTCTCTCTCTCTCTCTCCTGCTTCCCAAATTGTAATAAATGTAAACCAGTGAACCACATTACAGTATTCATGAATGTCACAATCCAATGCCGACATGCAACATAGAGGTAACAGCACTAGAATACAGGGTTGTTATAAACTACTCTCTCAGCCTGACCCCTCAACCTACAGTATTCAGCAAGAACTACACTGCAGGGCTGTCATAAGCCACTCCAACCTGCAATATGAGGCCAGAGTTCCTTTCCAACCTGAAGTCTGCAGTATGCAGATGATATGCCCAGAAAATATAGCAACCTTGTCATTATTAGCTGTGAAGACATGTGACAGTTTTTAAATGTTTTTGATGTTCTTATTTAGGCATTTACTGAATTCCATTTATGAATTGCTTCCTGTGAAACACTGCAAAGTGATTAACAATAATAACATCAAAAATTAAAACAATTTCATATATCAAACCATCCAAATTCCATGCAGTTACTGGGATAAAAATCCCCAGTTGAAAAAGTTATTGGGGAAATTGCTGGGGGGAAAGGTCTTCAATAGGCACTGAAAAGACGATGGAGATGTTCAGATGTCCTTAATGTTTAACGATATTTTATTTTAACTGCATCAGAACAGACATGAGTCTGAGCGATCTGGGCAGAGTATGACTATATTCCTGCATTTGAGGAATTTCTCGCTCTTTTTTCGTGAAGAAACTAGAATGTCAGGATCAGATTGTTTTTCTCTCTCCCCTCCAAGACCTGAAGGCAGGGGCATATCGTGGGGGGCTGTCAGGGCAATCGCCCCAAGCACATGTTTTGGGGCACTGCTCACACCGCCCTCACTGAGTCTCTCCTGCGCCACCTTGCAAGGATCACAAAGTAGCTCAGGGAGGCCGGCGTGACGACGCCATGCGCACTTCGATCCCAGCTCCTCAAGGGTGAGGCTAGGTTCAAAGGGCATCTAGAAATGCTTTCAGCAATTGCCACCAGCTGCATAGAGAGCAGACCGCTAACCATACTTTTATCCAAACATCCTGCAGGCACCCCAAATGACACCTAACACAAGAGAGGGAAACACATGGGACACCCAATGAAAACACTGGTGAACTCACAGTGAGCTGGCTAATGTGACAGACAGGGGCACCCAGGACACAGCCACGTGGCCCTCAGCTCCCTGTGGTAAGATGGCTGCCTACAGAAGGGAACTTCTAGGTGAGATCCCAGGGTAGCTGTTGAAAATGTGTCAAACAGCCTTGTCCAGTGGGCCTGTGGCAAAGAGGGCATCGTGTATGCAGCCCAAGTCATCAACCAGTGAGCCCCACTGTCCTCTCCACAACCCACTCTGTAGCTAGGTTCAACTACCTCCCTCAGTCTGGGAGGAAACAAGAATACCAAAGGTACAGGCACTTGCCTCCCCTTTGGCTTTTCTTCATTTTCCCTGCTTCATTTCTGAAGATGAGGAGGCTGTGGGGTTGAGCTGGAAAGACAGCCAAATTTTGAGACGTGTGGGCACAGCCGAAACATCTGCACTGAAAAGACACCTCAAGATCCTACACTTAAATTTTGTCTCAACACCAGCTCAAATTTTTGCCTTTGTCAGCTTCAGGACATGAACCTCTGACCTTGCGATGCTGGAGACCCAGCAATCCTTGACAAAGCTGTATATAAATATTTGCGGCTTTGGTTACCTATTAACTTGTTGCAAAATGGATTATAAGGCTGCTCATCCTTCCTGCTTTCTTATTCATTCTTTGACCATGGGGAACCAGCTCCTGTTTTGTACTCTGTTGGCACTGATTCCTGCTCTTGTAACATCCGATTTTTTAATCTCTAATATCAGAAACATCAAGGTAAGAATACATGGAAGCAGCGATTGAAATAATAGGATTGATACAAACAATCCCATGTTGGCATTGAAATGCCATCGAAAGTGAAGTGAAAAAAGATTTAGAAATTTGGTCAAATTTGAAGCTTTCACTGCTGGGCCGTATTGCTGCGATAAAAATGAATGTATTGCCTAGAATGTTGTTTTTATTTCAAACATTGCAAATTGTGGACAAAATGGATTGTTTCAAGAGGTGGCAGAAAGATATTTCTAGATTTGTCTGGCAGGGCAAGAAGCCTAGAATAAAATTTAAAATACTAACGGATGCAAAAGAAAGAGGTGGATTTGCCCTGCCAGACCTCAAACTTTATTATGAATCAGCAGCTTTTTGCTGGTTGAAAGAATGGCTGCTTCTTGAAAACACTGACATTTTGGATCTAGAAGGTTTTAACAATGTATTTGGATGGCATGCATATTTGTGGTATGATAAGGTCAAAGCACATCAAGCATTTAAAAACCATATTGTCAGGAAAGCGCTGTTTAATGTTTGGATAAGATATAAGGATTTATTAGAAAACAAAACTCCAAGCTGGCTGTCACCAATGGAAGCGAAAGCCTTGAAAAAGCTCAATATGGAGGTCAAACGGCCGAAATATTGGGAAATTTTGGAACAAGATGGAGATAGACTGAAATTGCAGAGTTTTGAAAAACTAAAAAACAAAGTGTGAGACTGGCTTCATTATTTTCAGATAATGGAGGCATTTAAATTGGACAAGAAAATTGGCTTCCAGGTGGAAAAATCAAAATTAGAAACTGAACTGTTAGAACCCAAAACTAAGAATTTGTCAAGAATGTATAACTTGCTGCTAAAATGGAACACTCAGGATGAAACGGTAAAATCTGTTATGATTAAATGGGCACAAGACGTTGGACACAACATTATGTTCGCTGACTGGGAACAGTTATGGACCACAGGTATGAAATTTACGGCATGTAATGCCCTAAGAGAGAATATTATGAAAATGATATACAGGTGGTACATAACCCCAGTCAAGCTTGCAAAAATTTATCATTTGCCCGATAATAAATGTTGGAAATGTAAAGAAACTGAAGGTACATTTTTTCACCTTTGGTGGACGTGCCCAAAGATTAAGGCTTTCTGGGAAATGATATATAATGAATTAAAAAAGGTATTTAAATATACCTTCCTCAAGAAACCAGAGGCCTTTCTCCTGGGCATAGTCAGCCAAACGGTGTTTAAAAAGGATAGAACTTTCTTTATGTAAGCAACAACAGCAGCAAGAATACTCATTGCAAAGTATTGGAAGACACAAGAGCTTCCCACACTGGAGGAATGGCAGATGAAACTGATGGACTATATGGAACTGGCGGAAATGACTGGCAGAATCCGTGACCAGGGAGAAGAGTTGGTGGAGGAAGACTGGAAGAAATTCAAAGACTATCTGCAGAAACATTGCAAAATTAAAGAATGTTAGAGTGATGTTGGATTGAAAATAAGTGGCTTCCAGCTGTACAGGATTTAAAGTTATATATAGATCAAGATTAAGGATTAGGATTAAAAAAGTTAAAGGAAATGGAAATTTGGTCTTTAAGAGGTAAAATTTAATGTTATATTATATTAAGATTAAAGATTGGGATTAAGAAAGAGGGAAAGAAATTGCTGGACAAACAATTTGAACTGGAATACAAAAGAGGGAGGTATGAGGAGGTCCAGAAAATAAGTAAATTTAAAAATGGAGATGAAAAGGTGGTATTGTTTTTAACTGTTTTCTTTTTTCTTTTTTCTTTTTTTTCTGGATTATGTATTGTGTACTTTTGAATTGTGTATTTCTTTTTTTATTTTCAATTTTTTTTATCGATGTGTTCTTTTTATTGGAAACCTTAATAAATATCATTTAAAAAAAAGAAAAGAAATGCCATCGAAAGGCTTCAGGGGCAGGGCTTTGCAAGTGTAAATGTTTTTCTTCCAGTGCATGAATATCCCTAGGACAAAAACAGAGTGATGTATGGATTATTTCTCCTTGTATCAAAGTAGACTCCCAGATATCCTAGATATTATCTCTTGTACTCAAAGGATCCCTAGATGCCAGGTGTGTCCATTGGCATTATAAGCATCTAGGACTGCAATGCTATACACACTTCTGTGCGAGTAAGGGCCCTTGAATTCAATGGGACTTACCTCTGAGAAGATAGGGTTGCACTATAGGTTACAATTCAGATAATGGGTAAGTCAGATCAGTAGAGGCCCTGCCGCTAGTTTTGTAATGCCCATGTTCCATGTTGAGTGGTGAAAGGTTGGGAGACACTGCTGTCTGAACTCCTGCAGACCTGTTGCCAGTAAGATTAGACGATACTGAGCTAAATGGACCAATGGTCTGGCTTGGTATAAGACAGCTTCCTATTTTCCCCATCTCTTCTGCACCTAGTCTCCAGAATGATCAGAACGAACCCTCAGAATAAAGTGGACAAATGCTTGGAGTCAGAGATGGGCTCGATGAGGGCTAATAAACTGAAATGCACCTATTAGTGTGAGCATTTCCAAATCAATATGGTAATAATGAAATCTATTATTTTGTTTTTCTTTACAGAAAAGAAATGTTGCAAATAATGTAAGTACTCGTCTTATTTTTAAACTTAGGTTGTTCTTGGCATATAGGGGAGGATAGCCTGAGGGGAGATTACGTGCTCTGCCTGGTTTTTAGTGTTTAATTTCCCAATCTCAGCACTGAAATCAGGACACGAAACCTCTCTTCCTTTCCACAGACCATTTGATTGTGACACCCCCCCCCACACACACCTTCAGTATGTGGTGTGAAGATAATATGTTTAATATGATGTCCCTTTTTCTTGTACAGTGGTACCTCTGGTTAAGTACTTAATTCGTTCCGGAGGTCCGTACTTAACCTGAAACGGTTCTTAACCTGAAGCACCACTTTAGCTAATGGAGCCTCCTGCTGCCGCCAGAGCACGATTTGTGTTCTCATCCTGAAGCAAAGTTCTTAACCTGAAGCACTATTTCAGGGTTAGCGGAGTCTGTAACCTGAAGTGTATGTAACCCGAGGTACCACTGTATTTTGTACTGCTTGTCAATCAATGATATGTCCTAGGATGTAAGTCTGAAAATCAATAAAAGGTTTTTTTAAAAAAAATAAAAATATCCATCTGCACACTCCTTAGATATCCTCTGTAAAGAGCAAGCAAAGGGGTTCCCAGCTCAGCACTAAGCACCACAGCGCTTTGATCAGAGAGAAGCCCTTTGCTTGATCTTTACCACCACCCCAGCATTGAGAGTGGGGGAGATGCTGCCTTTTACTCTTAAAGAGCAAACAGTGGGATTTTGTCTCCTGATCTCAGTGCTAAGCAGCACAGCACTCACATTGGAGACAAGCCCTCTGCTCAGTGGCGTAGCGTGGGGGGTGCAGGGGGGGCCGGCCGCACCGGGCGCAACATCTGGGGGTTAGGGTTAGGGGGCGCAAATCCACGGGTTAGGGGCGCAAATCCACGGGTTAGAGGGCGCAAATTACTTGCCTTGCCCCGGGTGCTCACAACCCACGCTACGCCACTGCCTCTGCTTGCCCTTGACAGCATTTTTCAGCCATCTCCACCCCAGTAGGGACGGCAGAAAATGCTGGTTGTTTGTATGTGCATGTATGTTTGTGTGCAAAGTATATGCATAAGTGTGTGTTGTGAGAGAGTGGAGTGCTCTATGCCTGCATGCCTCTTGAGTTTGTGTGTTGTATGTGTGCTGAGTGTCTGTGGTCTGCATGTATGTGGCATGTGTCGTGCATGTATGTGGAGATACTCCCACTGCTGGCATTGCGGCCCTTGAACAAAGAAAGGCTAGTTAACCCCTTAGTTATAGGTACATCCCATTAATGACAAAACCTTTTATTATTACATTGGTTCTGTTTTAAATATTAATGCTCTTAGCCCTGCTAATTATTTCAAGATATGGAATTTGCAATGCAAGATAGGAAAGTTTCATGGTCAGTGGTCAAGGATGATGACAGCTGTAGTCCAACAGTATCTAGAGATTGGGAATCAATCCCTTCAGTCAATTTGGGTTTCCCTGAATTGTAGAAAGAATGCATGTTTTTGAAATGTAATGCTGCAATCAAACTTTGTTCAGCACATATTTGCCTAAGTTGCTTAATAAATCAAGGACAGGGGAAAAAGTATGTAGAAATAAGGGGTTAAATAAACAAGCAGGAAGAACAAACAAAAAATCAGCACTAAGTTCCCTTTTCTTTTGGGGATAGGTTGAGGGTTTGCTGCATGTACAGGACCAAAAGTACACATGTGTATTGTGCCTGCTGGGCAACTGGGAAGCAATGAAAGGTTAACAACAACCCCCTTTCTTATCAAAATCTGAGCCACTACTATGGTTTTGAAGTAACAAAAATAAAAATAAAATGGAGTGGAGTGGGGGGAATCAAATGAAGGATCTGCTATACTAGGAGAGTTTTTGTCCTTAGATAGAAAAAGCACTCAAGAGCAAGGTTAAGCTTGTCACTTGACTCCTGGTAGTCTCTACAATTCCTCTCTGAAGTATTAGTTAGCAATATTGTCAATAAAGAAATACCTCTCCTCCTCAGGGCTACTTCACACTGTAATGTTTCTGGGTGGGTCCAATAACAAGCACCAATAATGACTCACTCGCTGGATCATCACCTTGTTGTGGTGAGTGGGATTGCCCATTCCTATGACCCTTGTGAGTGAAGCTGTCAAGAGTCTTGTACTCCCAGCAGGGTCACCCAAGGCAGTAAGGTCAAAGGGAAAGAGCTAGACAAAGAATGATCCAAGAAGTCCTCAATGGCAGAACAGGTGAAAGATAGCAAGTGGTATGTTACAATGGCTGTGAAGGTGGATAAAGGCTGCAGCAGATAAGAATCTACCAATCATTGTGACACTGCGAAGACTGTGTGTTGGTCAACTGATCTACACACTTAAAACAAATTCACGCACAGGTGTCTTCCAAAAACCCATCCTAAACCCCAATCCAAATGTCCCATGGTGATCAGCAAATGCTAATGGGGGCAGGACCATGAAATCTGGAAGCCCCTAGACATGAACCAGCACATGGTCAGTGGATACAGATTCAGTTGTTCTGATTCAAGGAATGAGGCAGTTGAGTACCTCAGCAGGATCCACTCTGTTCACCCTGAGAAGGGGGAGGGGCTAGACTGGCTTGGGAAGACAGGTGAACTAATGCCAGTGTACTGGAAGAAGCAAAGATCACCAGTGCTGAAGCAAGGATTCTTCAGCACCAACTTTGTTGGACTGGTCATGTTGTTTGGTTGCCTGATTATCATCTTCCAAAGCAACTACTCTATTCTGAACATAAAAATGGAAAGTGTAATGCTAGTGGTCAACAAAGGAGGTTTAAAGACTCCCTGAGATCTAGGGGTATAGGGTGGTATACAAATTTAATAAATAAAAATATAACAATAGCACTTTGCCAGTGTAGTAGTGAGGATAATGTTATTCCATCTTTTGTATCAAAAATATCAAGAAAATGAATGGTAATTCTATTTACTGTTTCATTTCTGTTCTACGTTGAGGGATTAAAACGGTGTACTGAAATAAATATTTGATTTATACATATCTTGCTCATTCAAATTCTGATTGGTTATTGTTTCACTATTGCATCAAACAAATGGTGGTGATTTTTAGTTTCTCTGTCTCTCCAGATCACTGATGAAATAGATATTTACAGCCTGAAAATTGAGTGCTTCGTTACCTCCCGATTTTCCCACAATGTCATCACTAGTCGAGCTGTCAATCGTGCCAATGTCTCCAAGGAAGCCTTATTTGATGTGGAGCTTCCAAAGACGGCTTTCATCACCAACTTCACCATGTGAGTACAACTTACTTTCTAAACAACTGTCTTGAGGAATTGAGCACAATACAACTCAGTCTTCGTAGACTTAAAATACTTGGTGTTTCATTATTTCCTTTGCTTTCCATCTGATTTCTTTAGTTAAAGGGTGATGGTTAGTTTACAAATAGGCTCAGTTGCCCTGAAAATATATCTGTGATGTTTCCCCCCTCACAATGACTGGTCAAGGCATGTTGCAACTTGGATTTCACATGTGATAGGAAAATTGTTGCAGTAAATGTGTTGAGTGAATGTCTGCAGTTGCTCAGCTGGTGGGTTAAATTTTCCTCCTCTGCACTTTTCTTTCAACTTGTCCAACACTTGACCCAACACTGTTTTAACAATGAGCCCTCTTTGTGGAATGAGTTTTCCTCATGACTGCATATTTGGTAAAAACTACAGTTTCCTCATATAATACTTAGCCTAACGTTTACCAACCTGGTGCCTTCCAGAGGTTTTGGGCTGCAATTCTTATGAGCTAAAGCCAGCACGGACAATGATCCAATATGATGGAAGTTGTAGTCAAAAAAACCTCTGAAGGGCACCAGCTTAGGGAAGGCTGCTCTACCTCAAGCTTCCTGTGAACAAAGACACTTATGCACAATAACAGAACAATGCATTTTATCGTTTCAGCTGCAAAACTCTGCCACTGTGCTGCCTTGCACTGTTCAGGAGAGCTGTGCCAGTGCCAGTGTTAGGAGGGTGGATCTGTGGGTTTGTCCCATCACACCAACTGCTACTGCTCAGCTACATTGGCACATGAGTTTATCAAAAGTCTTCTTTGGGGTAATAGCCGCCCCTTCCTTCTCAGAGGAACCCAGGAAGCTTCTTTCCATCTAGCCCAGTGTTGTCTACTAATTGGCAGGAGCTTTCTAGGGTTTCAGACAGAACTCTGTCTCAGTGCAGGGATTGAGCCTGGGGTTTAAGCATGGAAAGCAAGTACTCTGAGCTCAGACCCTTCCTCTTTGACTGCAAAACAATTGATATTCTACTACATGGTATTTAATACACCTAACCCAGGGGTGTTGGGTGTATTAACGGCATTGTTGTTGGTCTCAGCCTCCAATCAGACTTCAACAACATGGCCAAAGGTCAGGGATGATGACAGCTGGCATCCAACAACATTGAAAAGTCACCACACTGGATGCCCCTGGCTTAAGACACATGAAAACATTCATCGTTTAAACAAATGTACAATGTACCCAGAAAAAGACGAATTCCTGTAAACTGTAACGTGGAGGGAGGCAATGTGATTTACAAAGAAGCCAATGAAATTATTTTCAGATATCTGCATAGGAGTTCAGATATTTACCTGCTGTTTCTTCTCTAGGACCATTGATGGTGTCACCTACCCTGGAACAATAAAGGAAAAAGAGGCTGCGCAGCAACAGTATCAAAAGGCAGTTTCAAGAGGACAGACTGCAGGTCTTGTAAAGTGAGAGTGAGACCCTTCCATATCCTGATAGTTTATTTACACTCATAGAATCATAGCATTATAGAGTGGGGAGGGACCCTGAGGGTCATCTATATGGTTTTTGGGTTTATATTTTTCATTCTTATTTTGTGAACCTCCTTGAGATCTATGTCCACAGCATTCTCCTAATCCACCAAGTTTGTAACTCGACTCAAAAAAAGGAATTGGATTTGTCTGGCACAAGTTGTTTTTGAGAAACCCATGCTGGGCTTTAGCGATCACTGCATCCTTTTCTAAGTGATCACAGACTGACTGTTTAATTATCTGTTCTTGGACCTTTCCTGATATTAATGTCAAACTGACTGATTTATAGTTACCTGGGTCTTCTCCCCTCCCCTCGCAACTTTCTGAAGATAGGTACAACATTTGTCCATCTCCAGTCTGCAGGGACCTCACCTGTGCTCCAAGAATTATCCAAGAAGATTATAGACAGAGCCTCTGTGTTAACACCCCCAAGCTCCTTTAGTACCCCTTCAGTGAAGCTCATCAGACCCTGGAGATTTGGATTTTTTTAAAAAAGTTGACAGATCTAAGGGTTTCAATGGGATTGTTACTTTTGTAACATTAATGCTGTTAATCTTGTAACAAACTTCTTTTTAACCTGTGAAGGGCTTCTGGAAGAAAAACTGAAAAATTCAGTGTTTCAGTCAACATTGCAGCAGCCAGCAAAGTCACTTTTCAGCTGCAATATGAGGAGCTATTGAAGAGAACCTTTGGAAAATATGAATTGTTTCTAAAAGTAAACCCGAAGCAGCTTGTCAATAAATTTGAGGTAATGTACCTATTATATCAAATGGAACTGTTGTAAAAGTTCGCCAAAATTGTATTAAATGAGTGACGAAAGCTCAAAGAACTGAATGCATCTTGTTAAAGAAGATAGGTGATTGGTTCTGAGTTACTTCTCTTTGCTGCAAGGGTGTTTGCTGTAGTTAAGATGCTTAACTCCATCCGAACTGTAGTATCTGTGACTTTGTCAATTACAGCATTATTCAAATTAACATTTCAGATCGAGGCAAACATATTCGAGCCCCAGGGCATCAGCTTTCTGGACGCAGAAGGATCTTTCATCACCAATGACTTGTTACCAGTCATACATAAGTCTTTCTCAGGGAAAAAGGTATGTTTTACAATGATACATAAGGACAGTTCCACAGCACTAAAAATGTTCACTAAACTTGAGATAGCAATAATTAATTGGGAGGTCTGGGCTAGATGTTTATTTGTGGGCTAGATGTTTATTTCAGAGTATTTAATCTTCAAGGTACTTACTCTCTTGCAATGTTATTGTTCATGTTTTCAACAGTAACGCCAGGTGAAGAACAAAAAACCTTTCATAACTGTTTGTTAAAATTTCACATGGATGGATGCTTGTGCTTTCAGGGTCATGTTTCTTTCAAGCCTACTATGGACCAACAGCGAACTTGTGTAGATTGTCAAACAACACTGTTGAGTGGAGATTTTGTCATAAAATACGATGTGAACAGAGAAACCCCAGGCAATTTACAGGTAAACAGAACTGATGTGAACTGATGTGCCAGTGGATGTGATTGTAATGTCATCCAACACTTGTTTTTGTTTTTGTTTTGCAGATGGTCAACGGGTACTTTGTACATTTCTTTGCACCACAAAATGTTTCACATTTGCCCAAGAATGTTGTTTTCATTATAGATATCAGTGGCTCAATGTCCGGACGAAAAATAGATCAGGTAACCAAGTACTCTAAAATCAACTTGTAATGTAACCAACACTTAAGTTAATGGAGAGAGGGTGTCTCATAATCATTTATTCCAAGCAGTTTAGACAGAATGCCTGCAGAGTTTAGTGGATGCTTTTGCTGAGTATATACTTAAGTCATTTAGAGCCTGGCTGCAGGATTATTTAAGGTTTTGTGATTAGGGCAATTAGGGAAATTGCTAGTAGACAACTCACCTTATTTGAGAAACCATTGTTTTCTGGAGAAACCGTAGAAAAGATATTCTATTACTAATTTGTAAACTATTACTGTCCCCTTTTAACTGTCCCCTATAGACACTGTGAAATAGCAGTAACAGCAAAGAGAAAGAACAGAGGACAAAAATCCTACATCATGGAAACACAGTAATAAAAACATCCCGTCTCTGTCACTTCCCACAATGTGGAATGAAAACCTACACCGTCATGTGATATAAACAATCCCATGACTGCAACACGGTGAATGAATCCTAACACCCCTCACTGATATGTTGGAGAGGGTGTCAGTTAACTGGTACCTGTTATCATTTGGGGAGGAGACTACCCCTTAATATAGCAATTTTGGTTCTTCATCTTTGTGGAAATTGGCAAAATTACTAAACAGCACTTTAACACTTTGTCCACATTAATAATGACCTGATATGCTTGCTTATGCAAGCAGCGAGAACTATTATAGTAAGACACTGGAAGAACCTAGAAGGAGTAAATGTTATAAATTGGTATAGAAAGGTATGGCAGACTGCACTATTAGAAAAAATTGACAAATAGATTGAGACTTCCACGGGGACAAATTTAAAAAGACAATTTTAATGCAACTTGAGTTGACTTTATAGATTTTATGAGCACAGCCACAATTGGTAATCTTATGGCAGCAGCTTTTCATATTGTATAACCTCCCCTTCCTTTGGTGAACTGGGAGAAAGGGAAAGATTTCTTTTATAAAACCTCTTTATCATAACATCACTTATACTACTGGTGCTCTAGCTGTATTACTATTTTGAATTAAGGTTTAATCATTTCTATTACTTCCATTAATCTCAAAGTATTATTTATTTTAAGATTTTGCACTATATTTTGGGTTGTGTGAATCATGATTTACTATATATTAGTTGTAGTTTGATTAGTTTGTTGCATTCTTCTTCTTCTTTTTTTGGTATGTTATACTGGTGTAACACCAAATCAGTTATTGAGCACGCTACTCTTATGGAAATTCCAATCTTGGTGTTTTATAACTCTTATTGTGGGAAAATATTTGGTGTTCTTATTGTTAAAGATGTGATAAGCATTTTTTTATTAAAAAAATATCGCTGATTGTCCAGTAGAGGTGGAAAGAAGGGAGTTCCCCACTGCAACTCTCCTTGCCCATGAAACAGTTGATTGATGATATCCTCCTATTCTACAAGAGCTCAATGCTCACAGAAGATGCCCAGCAGTTTCCCACCAAGGACTCTATATAAGAGTCCAGGGTATCCAGAGCTGCCACAGAACTCTTGAGAGCTCCCAGGGTCATGCCTTGCAAGCTGTTGTCTCTGCAAGCACTGAGCTCCAAATGAAGCCTTATATGTTTTCTAGACCTGGAGTTCCATAAACACCACCTCTCCAAAAGAGCTAACTTAGCTCAGTTGGTTAGAGCATGGTGCTGATAATGCCAAGGTTGCAGGTTTGATCCCCGTCTGGGACAGCTGCATATTCCTGCATTGCAGGGGGTTGGACTAGATGATCCTCAGGGTCCCTTCCAACTCTACCGTTCTATGATTCTATGATTCTATCTTAGCTTGTTATGCAGCCTTTGGGGGCTAGGGAAACATGAAAGACTCCTCTTCTGATTCAGAGGAGGGAGGCAAGCCTGAGTCCTCCAGTTGAGGGAGTCCCATTCTATATCTGTATACAGGTTCAAAAGTGCCAGGTGGGAAGAGGGAGTAATAGTTTGTTTAGTTACCAAAGAGATCTCAGCAATCAGCTTACTCCAAAATTCAGCCACCTTTGAACAATCCCTTCATATGTGCTTATATGTACCAACTACATGACAGTCCCTCCAACACAGTGAAGATGTATCAGGATAGAGAAAACAGAGCAGTCACAGAGTAGGGTACCTGTCATGTACTAACTTTTGAGAGAGCTCTCAAGTTTGAGCTGAATGGAGACTTGGCCCACAGACCTTTCTTCTGCTCGTCATCCATCTGTATGTCCCAGTTACATTCCTACAAGGGCTTTTGACTCTGAGCCCCTTTAGGTTCTGTTTCTTCATCAGTGCTCTGGCTTTAATTGTTTGCCCTTCATTATTTGTACTTTAGACAAAGGAGGCATTGTTAAAAATATTAGAAGACATAAAGGAAGAAGACCACTTCAATATCGTGTTGTTTGAGAGTGATGTAGTGAAATGGAACGATACCTTAATACAAGCTACTCCTGAAAACCTGGCTGAAGCAAGACGCTATGTTCAGAGTATTTATGCTCGTGGATGTAAGTTGCAGGAGGAGTGGGATTTTATTTATTTAACAAATGTAATATTCTGCCCTTCCCTTTGAAGAACTTCAGAGCAGCTTGTAGTTAATAAAAAAAATAATACAATATTCAGAAATAAAACACTAAAATAATTATTCTACAGCAGGACAATATTTCTATCAGCAGTTCTATTAGCTGTATTATAATCAAAAATATAACATTTTTAAAAAGCCTAAGTAAATGAAAATATCATTACATGGTTTAAAAGGTTGTAATATTTGGTGTAAGATCAACCTCCATGCTGACAATATTCCAGAGATAGGTTGCCACGACAAAAAGTCTATAGTTGCCTAATCTATGCCAGCACAGAGAAGGGTTATGGAGGCTCTGAACTGCTTAAAAAAACACACCCTCTGCTGAAAAGCAGGTCACTGACACAATAGTGGTGGATAGGCTTTTCTTAAGTTTTTATTCCCATTTGTTTCAGTGAATGGCCCTGCTGCTCTTCCCCTGCCTGTAATGTATGCATTTTCCTTGCAATTTACACAATGTTTTCAAGTATTCTGCTACCCATCCCTGTGAGATGTCTGCTTACCTTAAACAGTCAGGCAGCTTTGTGGCCTGGCCTTAGCCCCACATCAGAGATTTGGCAGCCAGCTGGGGAGGATTGTAGGCCTGCCTGCAGATTTGCCAACAGCAGGCAGGCCTAGGTCTGGGGATTCCCCACAGGGTGGGCCCAACCGGCCAATGGGCATCACTTGGGTCCTTCCCTGGGGAAAATAAATTGAGGCTGCCCAACACTCCTCTGTTTCTCCATTGGGTCTCCCACCCTTTTTTCAAATGCTGCTTCTTTTATGCTGAGACCTTGCTATGAACATTGTTGGCCTCCATATTTGGGGGTCAGGCAGGAATTTTTCCACTTGGCAAATTGGCACTGGCTACTTGATTTTCACCTACCTCATAACAATCACCACAACTTTCTGAGGTTGGGCACTGAGTAAGCCTTAGTCTTGGTTGGAGGGAAGGTTGTAGCTTCTGCCTGCCCCTCCTTGGTTAATGGTATCCATGTTGCTTCTGCCCAACCCCCAGACAGGGGCTAGAGCCATAGAACTCTTCCAGCAGGGACCCCTTGGGGGATACCCCTATTTGATGTAGGTCATAGGGCCCACGCATGATGTGGTTTACCCCTACATACACTCCAAGCAAACCGTCTGGAGTTAAATAAATGGCTTCACCGAGTGCCTATGCCAAACCTTTCACAACTGTAACCAATAAAGTTGTGGCCTATTTGAACCCCAAAACTCTATAGCGTCTGGTTATTTCATTACATAGGGAGCGACTGGGTAACGGGGTCTTGGCACATGACACACATGCCACATTTCAGGCAGTTATTGGAGTACTGAGTTTGATTTTCATCGTAGAAAGGCAAGGAACAAATGGCTAAATAAAATACTGGCCCCATAAGCATCTTCCAAGACAACAATGCCCACTTACCCCACAAAGAACTCCCAGTACGTTTCCAAGCACAATTCAAAGTGTTGGTGCTGACCTTTAAAGCCCTAAACAGCCTCGGTCCAGTATACCTGAAGGAGTGTCTCCACCCCCATTGCTCAGCCCAGACACTGAGATCCAGCACTTAGGGCCTTCTGGCGGTTCCCTCGATGAGAGAAGCCAAGTTACAGGGAACCAGGCAGAGGGCCTTCTTGGTAGTAGCAGCTGCCCTGCGGAACACACTACCACCAGATGTCAAAGAGAAAAATAATTACCAAGCTTTTAGAAGACATCTGAAGGCAGCCCTGTTTAGGGAAGCTTTTAATGTTAAATAGGTTATTGTATTTTAGGGTCTTGTTGGAAGCCGCCCAGAATGGCTGGGAAACCCAGCCAGATGGGCGGTATAAATAATATATTATTATTATTATTATTATTATTACCACCCACCTACTCTCAGCAGCCCGAAACATCATAACCAGACACTGGAGAGACCTGTCAGGAGTAAGCATGGACCAGCGGTATCAAATAGTATGGGAAACAGCCTTACTAGAAAAATTAACCAATAAACTGAAATTGACGCGGGGAAAATAGAAGAAGATGCCTTCACCCTGGTATGACTCCCCTTTATCACATACACAGCCCAACAAGACAACGACAAGAATCCACCAACCTGATTCAAAAACACCCACCCACCCCACTCACACATGAAAACAAAGTTCACCACAGCCAATCGCAAACAAACAACCACACCCTAGGCCAGGGGTCGGCAACCCGCGGCTCCGGAGCCGCATGTGGCTCTTTTACACCTTTGCCACGGCTCCAGGGCGGATACTAGTGAGGGGAGAAGGCGCATTGTGCGCCCCGACACTCCCCACTGTGGCGGGCGCTGTACTGGCTGTGACGTCGCATGGGGGCGGTGCGTGCGTTAGTCACGCACCGTCCTGACGTCACCTTCCCGCCCTCCCGCCCGCTGCATTGTAAGGGGCATGCACGCTGGTCACTGCATTGAAAGGGGGCATGTACGCTGGTCACTGTTTTGAAGGGGAGTGAAGAACACACACACACAAAAGGTAATTTGTTAATTTAACGTTTATTTCTATGAGTAGGAGTAATTCTGAGGGGTCAAACAAAGAAATAATAATAAAAAGTGACAAAAAAAGTTATTTTTATAATGGCGAGTTTTGCGGCTCCCAGTTTTTTTTTCTTCAGAAACGGGTCCAAGTGGCTCTTTTTGTCTTAAAGGTTGCAGACCCCTGCCCTAGGCCAACCCCAACTTCTCTCACCACCAAAAGAACACAAGCAAATACCAAAGAGAACCTGCACAAGCGACGCTGACACAAAACCCCACATATACATTAAGTAAAATAGAAACATCGCCACCGGACCCCACCCCCACTCACCATGGCCCCCTCCACCTCTTCCCCACTTTTCTTCCTAATGTAACACTAATGGCTCAACAAATGAAACTGACCTGTAGAAAATGTAACTTGAAAAAAGAGACGTTGCACAAGAAATCTTTAATAAAAAATACATTAAAAAGAACCATTCTGCAGTTTGAAATCAATTTAATAAAACAGTTGCCTGCAACCCAAACGTCCTCTTGAAAAGTAAGGTTTTGCATAATGTCTGGAAGGCAAGAAGTGAGCTGTGCCTCATTGGGGTGCAGCTTCACAGCCTGCCACAGAAAAAGTCCTCTCCATATTCCCAAAGAAGTGTATTTCAGATGTTACACTATTCAGATTATCTGAAGAGGTAGACAGGTACAGGAAATGCGATCCTTCAGCTAATGTAATATTCATTCTAAAAGTCTATTTGGCTCTGGCATATTACTGTGGCTTCTCTTTCATCCCACAGAAGAAAATCCACAGTTAGTGATCAAAAGAGCTTTCTAGTCACACTCTGTTTTTACAATTTGCTCCTCTATGTTCCAGGGACAAATCTTTTTGGTGGATTAATAACCGGAATTGAAATGCTGAAGGAAGCTCAGGAAGCTGGAACTTTGCCCGAAAGAAGTGCTTCTTTAATTATGATATTATCCGATGGCCTACCCAATGAAGGTATGTTTCCTGACAAGCAAATAACTTTGACATGTGATAAGATTGCTATGGAAAATGATAAATCTTCACAGAAATTTATAGCAGAGGTGTTATTTCAAATTTCAATTGCTGCATATCAGAGGAGTAAGGAATTTTCAGTAGAAAGGTCAAGATTCACAACATTCAAAGGCCTGCTCTTTGATACATTTAATACTGCATTGTGAAAACGTGTGTATTTCAAAATGATTTTTAATGGTTATTTTCTGTCTGATACTTTGTTGAAACTATGTCAATATTATTAGTGTGAGTCCAAAAGTAAGCCTTTCTTCATTGAAGGGATTTTCTCTAGGGCAGTGGTTCCCAATTAGCTAATTACTGAGGACCCCCTATTTTTCAAAAGCAAAGCCATGGGACTTCCGGATCGGTCGCAATCACGTTCAGGTCATGAGTTCATCCAGTGAGCTTGTTGGGACGACTCAATCATAGAAAAGGGTAAAAGGGGAGCGAAGGCAACGCAATACCCATAAAAAGGCTCAGAAAAGGGTTCTGAGCTCTGACCCAGCCAAGCTGCACAAAAAGGGGTTTCCCAACAGCTCCTGCATTTAGTAAAGTGGCAGGGAGAGAGGGAGAACTCCAGCACTAAATACAGTGCCTTCCCTTTCTATGAGATGCCTCGAAAGCCTGAGTGATTCAGCAACAGATCTCTCCATAATCTGAGACTAAAATAATAAGACTGCTGGCTGGCAAACAAAGAAAAGGTATGTACAATGATCGGCAGGCAATTTGATAGCAAAAAAGGAGTCTAATGTTACGAGGGGGAGGAAGGAGGTCACCCTCAAACATGGTTTATTTTTATTTTTTTTATAATTGATATTTATTAAGTTTTCAAAGAATAACAACAAAAATTTCCAAAAAAAAAAATTGAGGATACAAAAAACAAAAATAGTACATAAACAAAAAAGAAAAGAAAACCCAGCCGCAAAGAAAAAAAAGAGAAACAGAAAAACAAAAATATAAAGTCCTTTACAATCTCTATTGACTTCCTTTCTAGACTTCCTCCTCCTCCCCTCTTTTGTTTCTTAATTTTTAATTTTTACAGCAAATCCTTTCTGTTTTTTCATAACAATCTGTCATTACGTTTCCTTATTCTATTTTCCCTCTTGTCATATAAAAACTTTAAGACTCATAGCTTATATTCAATATTTACCAAATTCTTGCATCATTACCTTTTTACGAATCATTTACCAATCCTTACTTAAGCCATGTAATTTCATTCAACATCCTTCAAACATTTGTAAACATTCCCAATGTTAAAAAGTAAAAAAAGAAAAAATAATAAGTCAAATTCAGTCCAGTCGGCTTCCACCCTCCCCTCCCCTGGACCCGGGATTGTCAGTCCTTTTAACCTCGATAATCCAGCTCCTTAACCTGGTTGTCTCGTATCCGAGGCCCTCAAGTCTCTTTCTTGCCCCTTTCGCCACTCTTGTTGATGATTCCTTTCCAGTCGTGGATGCTCCAGCAAGAAAATGCTTTTGACCCTTTGCAGCAAGTCCATCCCAAACCCATTGCCCAAGCCAGACAGCAAATAATACCACTTCAAATTTCCACACAGCTTGGAGACTTCGGCTACTCCAATCCTCTGATAGCCCATCACCAGACTCGGAAGGTCCAAATAACCATATGGAGGGGGGGTCGATCCATCCCCCATTTCCAAATCTGACCACATTTCATCTTTCCAGATCTGGTTTGTCCCAAGTTCATTTATCAAGTTCAAAGGCTGATCTTGCCCGTCCAAAGGTCCCTCCATCTCTGAAGCCTCCGTCACTACAGCAGGTTCATATGCTTGTATAGCCTTTAACTGAATTTCATTTGTTTGCTGCTGTGCTCTGGTAACTTCCATCATCAAGGTCGTCTCCTGACGCATCTGGTCCAGCTGGGCACTTAGTTTTGAAAAACCTTCCAGGAACAATTGTTCAAGCCTTTGTACTAGCATTGTCCTTCAAGGTCAAAGAAAGTTCTTTCCCACGACAATAGTCCAATAGTCCTTCTCTTTTAATCTCTCTGCGTTGCAATTTCACTAAATTCCACTAGATGGAAATTTTTTTTTTTTTTTAAAAGGAATAAAAGCAACAGCAACAATCTTTCTTTTTTCCAGAAACACTTTATCCAAAATTCCCCCCTTCCAAATTCAAGAGGCAACAGTAGAATCAAAATGTTACCCTTCTTTTAACTAACTGTCGAGCTGGATAAACTTCAGAATGTCAATTCTGACAGCCCGCTCCTGGTTCAGGGCAGTGGAAAATTGCTTTATTTTAAACTCACTTCCGCAGGATTGAAAAGTCCAAATACAACCCCTTCTCTCCTGCAGTCAAAGGGGGGGTTCAGAAATCTTAGATGTTGAATTCTAGTTCTCTTAGGATTTAATTTTCAAGCTTTAGTATATTTTGTCTTTGCTTTCTTCACATAACAAAAGAACGGAAGGCGACTTCCTGTTTAGACCTTCCCATTCCGAGTCCCAATTAAGTTCAATTTCAAGTCCAATATTATTTGTTTATTCACCAGTCTTAAAAGTGGTTCAACTCTTCCAAGATCAGGTACTCACGGATAGATATTTTAGATGCCAAATTGTCCAGGAAAAAGGCAGCGCTCTCCGATAACGGCAGTGCGGCTTTGCTGCACGGAGGAAGCAGTCGACTCACAGCACCACGCACCTCCACTCCGGAGCCCGTTACCGGGCTCCTGTACAAGGGAGAGAGTGCTCTCGGTGCCCGCCGAGTCCCACGTCCACAGGCTTCTTCCGCCTGTGGTTTTTGCGGGTCCCCGCTGCGCCGTAGCGGCAGGACCCAAGCCTCCGTGCAGCGGGTTCCCTTCAGTCCGAAGGCAATTCCGCCATTTTCCGGAGGCGCCACCCCGGAAGTCCCTACCCTCAAACATGGTTTAAAAGGACACTGTGCTCTAAAATATTGCGAAAAGAAGAACTTAAGGACTTAATTCCTAATTTGCGAATCAAGGATATTGAAGTACAGAAAATTGGAATCTGTTGGAGACATCTCTGAGGCGGGCAGGAAGAAGTGACTGACACGCAAAAAACTGGAGAAGTGAAACAGTACCAACAAAAAAAAGAATGGCAAGAGAGATTATTTGATTACCTTGAATTGGCAAAAATGATGGATAAAAAAAACCCAGTGCCCTCAAATTAAAACCTGGACTTGCTTCAAATAATTTTTGCAAAACAAAGTATGGTTCACGAATACAACATATGGAGAAGGGTAGAAAAGATGAAATGAGAAAGAAACAATTTATCAAGTTTAAAATCAAACCCGCGTTAAGGAGGAAGGAAGTATTAGAATAGAATAAGAACTAAAGCTTGGATAACATAAGTCTGTGTGCACAAACTTGCGGATTTATGGATCATTTATTTTGATCCAGTTTATCATTTATTTTGTGTTTTCTTTTGTAGTTCGTTTTTTAAGTGTTGTGTGTGTATCTGCTGTAATAATAAGTTAATAAAAAGCATTTATATAAAAAAGGCAAAGCCATGGACCCCCTACTTTTGAACATTTTGACAACTCTGCACTAGTTACCTCTGGAAAGCAATTTTTTGAACTAAATGTGGGGTAGCCCATAATAAGCAAAAGATTTTAAGTATACTAAAAAAACAGACTAGGGCTGAGCGATATCTGGTTTTCAACATTGTGATATATCAGCAGCTAAACATTGCAATATTCTGATATATCACAATGTCTTAAATTGGAGATCAGGCGTGGGGATGAGGGAAAGAGCAGTCACAGAGATTGGGGGGGGGGGGAGAGGAAGTGGAGTCACCTCCTCTGCATGGTTTGAGTGGGAGGGGATGGGGATGGGGGGGTGCATCAGCAAAGCAACCAGGGAAGATCCACGTCCACTGTGGCTGGTGCTGCTTTCTTGCTGACTGGGAAAAGCTGCTCTGCCTCAGGGCCCAGGCAAGATAATGCCACGGTGCCTTGAAGTGAGGGCAATTGACTGCCCTGTTCTGCATCAGCATGAGAGGAAGGCAGCTCAGATCAGCAGTGTTATTGGCTGAAGTCATCGTGCGATATCAGTAGTACCTTGACATTGGTTGCCCTGCTCTCCCTTATGTGAGGAGCGATATATTGCTGCATATTGCTGGGTCAAAATCGTTATTGCGGTGTGATTTCAAAACTGATCTTGGCCAATATATCAAAAAACCTCACAGTGCTGAAACAGTCCATATATCTGTGATATTACCATGCAAAAATGACAAAAAAATTAGGCAAGGGATGGGGCCGGGACCCCCAGGGGTCTTCAGATCCCTAATTGGGAACCACTGCTTCAGGGTATCCCTGGTGTATGGGCACATTTAATTGCTCGTTGTTATCTATACAAGTTCTGTGATGTATTATAAAAATAGTAATTCAGTGTATAGATCATGTGAGTTGGCAAGAAGTACGTTTATTAAACATAGTCACATGGTTTCTATAAGTGGCCACCTTGAATTCCTATCTACAAGATGAATGATCCTGCTGAATGTGTTCTAAACTTTTTTTCCTATTTGGGAAGAGAAAAACATTAATACTGGTATCTCAGAAACAAGTATAACAGGATTTTTGTTGCTTTTTTCTATAAATGTGTGTAACCATGAGAAACCTATTCAACATTAATTATTGTCTGTGTTTTCATACAGGAGTGTCTAGCATCCAAGAAATTTTACTCAGAACCAAAAATGCAACTCAAGGGAAATTCCCATATATAATCTTGGGTTTGGTTATAACCTTGACTATGGCTTTTTAGAAAGGTTGGCCACGGAGAACAATGGAGTGGCTCGTCGTATCTATGAAGATTCCGATTCAGCCCTACAGTTACAGGTAAAATATGATAACATTAGGTGACAATTGATTTTCTTTTTTTAAAGGTTAAAACAGATAAGCTACTGTTATTTTCAGAATGAAGACTCATCCACTTTAGTACCTCAGCATGGTATTGTTACACACCACCCCAATCTCCACAAATGGTACAAGATTCCAGGGTTTGCAGGAATATTTAACCAGCGTCTGTGTTTCCTTTTGGGACAATGAGGCACAGCAGATACTGATTTAGACATGTGTACAACCTGTGGCACGACTGAGCCAGCCCAGCCAGTTTTCAGTGGAGGAAGTAGGCAGGAAGAAACAGGATTAACTAACAGAAGAGAGGAGCCTAGCCGAGGGCCAACTTCCCCGCCCTCAGGAATGCTGGTTGCCAAGTCTGTCTTCTCAGGAAGAAGTTGGAGGGGATCCAATGAGCCCACAGAGTCGCCGCTGGGGGAGGGTGTGTGATAGGAGGCGGAAGCAGAAACGTAAGGGGCAGAAATCCCATTTAAGTTGGAGGAAGGGGAGGGACTCGGCAGAAGAGTCATCGTAATTCATGAGGGTGGCAGCTGGGTTAATGCTGTCCGGCATTATCTGTGTACTTGATCAATAAATCATTCTCTCTACTTAACTACGCTTCCTGTGTTGTCAAGCTGAAGGCTGGATTCCTGACAACCTGCATTTAGAATGAAAGATGGCAGAGCATTCAGAGCATCCTATGAGGGTCTGGCTTCCCCTAGATTTAAAGGACAGCAAAAAAAACCACCCTCTGTGTCCCTTAGTTCCATCCTGCCATCCCCATCTCACATGGAGTTCTGCCCTTCCTTCTCCCTCTCACAGCTAACTGACTCCCTGGACCACCCCACAGGCTACGTCATTCAAAGTTGAAACCCTAAACCTGGTTTTTGCCTCTGCCCACTAGCACCCCAGCAAATAAGGGCCCCCACTTCTCTTTACCTGGCAGTCTTGCCCTCTGATGGTTTCCTTGATGGGTGATCCCTGGCCTTTGTCGACTGCTACTGGCCCATCCAGCTAGACTGGTGATTGGGAGTGGCCGCCGAGACCACATAACACTGGTCCTGAAAGATCTACATTGGCTCCCAGTACGTTTCCGGGCACAATTCAAAGTGTTGGTGCTGACCTTTAAAGCCCTAAATGGCCTTGGCCCAGTTTACCTGAAGGAGCATCTCTATTCCCACCATTCAGCCAGGTCCAGCTCTGAGGGCCTTCTGGCGGTTCCCTCACTGCAAGAAGTGAGGTTGCAGGGAACCAGGCAGAGGGCCTTCTTGGTGATGGCGCCCACCCTGTGGAGCGCCCTCCCACCAGATGTCAAGGAAATAAACAACTATCTGACTTTTAGAAGACATCTGAAGGCAGCCCTGTTTAGGGAAGTTTTAATGTTTGAAGTTTTATTCTGTTTAATATTCTGTTGGAAGCAGCCCAGATTATTATTATTATTATTATTTTATTATTATTTATTTATTTATTTATTTATTATTTATTATTCCCAGCTGGCTTGGCTCATTACTCATTACCAGGGGGGGTTCCGTGTTTGGCAAAATTTAATCAAACCTTGATTAATTCAAACTTTTACTAAATCCAGAAATTATGAGGAGTCTCCACCGCCCCCCGCCCCCCCCGGCAAATTCATAACAGTATTGCTAAAACAACACAACCCTGCTCTGCTTTGCTCAGCCCTATAGAAAGGGGCCAAACAGGAGAATAACTGTCCCTAATCTGCCCTGGCAAGGCCACCTCTCCTCAACTCTTCCTGTTCATAAGGACAAAAGCAAAATTCAGCTAGAATGTTAGGAACAACATGTGCTTTGGAATACCAAGAATATAATGTTGTGTATTTCCTTCGATTCAGTAGAGATTTTTAAGCAGAGAGGGTGGTTGCCTAAGAGGGATGCTCAAGTGCCCGTATGAAGAACCTTTGGCCCTCCAGATGTTGCTGAACTACAATTTCCTTCATCCCTGGTCTTTGGCTATGCTGGTTGAGGCTGATGGGAATTGTAGGCCAGCAACATCTGGAGGGCCAAAGGCTACCCAGACCTGCTATAGTGGATTGAGCTAGATGACCATTGAGATTCAAGCTGACTCCACATTTTATGGTTTTATGGCCTTTGTTCAGCATGCAGAGGTGAAATTCTCCTACTTCTAGTGTGCAGAGATTGATCAGTAGCAATCTTGTACTGGAGAGCTTGCCTTGTTCTGTGTTTGGATTTCTTTATCATTTTGCTTTTCCTCCAAGGAAATTAAAGCAGCATTTTGGCCTTACAGCAAAACCCTCACAAGTCTATGAGTCAGATTAAGCCTACAGTTAATTTGTTTATTTTTATTTAAGAGCATTTTAAACATCAATAAGTAATCTCAAAGTGGGGCACAATAAACAAAGCAGATACTATTCTGAAGCAGGCACAAAATATTTGATGGACCAAGATCACCAGGAGATAATTTTATTATCTACATGTTTGTATATGTATATATGCATTCTTTTTCTCTTTACAAAAATATGCACTGAAACTAGGCTGTGTTTAAGTGTTGGTTTATTTATTTTTATTTTCTAGGACTTTTATAATGAGGTGGCCAATCCCTTACTTACAGAAGTAGAGTTTAAGTACCCTGAAAATGCCATCTCTGACTTGACTCAAAATAATTTTAAGCACTATTATGCTGGTTCTGAAATTGTTGTGGCTGGACGTATTATAGACAATGACCTAAACAGTATTACTGCAGAGGTGAAAGCTCATGGGGTAAGTGCCTTGTTAGGTCTGGCAATTATAACATGTGTGTGGTTAAACTTTCTTTCCTGGCAGTGCTTGCCATTTTAAAAGGTAGGAATATAGCCCTGCTTATTTAACTTATATGCAGAAGTCATCATGCGAAAGGCTGGGCTGGATGAATCCCAAGCTGAAATTAAGATCGCCGGAAGAAATATCAACAACCTCAGATATGCAGATGACACCACCTTGATGGCAGAAAGTGAAGAGGAATTAAAGAACCTTTTATTGAGGGTGAAAGAGGAGAGCAAAATATGGTCTGAAGCTCAACATCAGATCATGGCCACTGGTCCCATCACCTCCTGGCAAATAGAAGGGGAAGAAATGGAGGCAGTGAGAGATTTTACTTTCTTGGGCTCCATGATCACTGCAGATGGTGACAGCAGTCACGAAATTAAAAGACACCTGCTCCTTGGGAGAAAGGCGATGGCAAACCTAGACAGCATCTTAAAAAGCAGAGACATCACCTTGCCAACAAAGGTTCGTATAGTTAAAGCCATGGTTTTCCCAGTAGTGATGTATGGAATTGAGAGCTGGACCATCAAGAAGGCTGATCGCCGAAGAATTGATGCTTTTGAATTATGGTGCTGGAGGAGACTCTTGAGAGTCCCATGAACTGCAAGAAGATCAAACCTATCCATTCTTAAGGAAATCAGCCCTGAGTGTTCACTGGAAGGACAGATCCTGAAGCTGAGGCTCCAATACTTTGGCCACCTCATGAGAAGAGAAGACTCCCTGGAAAAGATCCTGATGCTGGGAAAGATGGAGGGCACAAGGAGAAGGGGACGACAGAGGACGAGATGGTTGGACAGTGTTCTCGAAGCTACAAACATGAGTCTGACCAAACTGCGGGAGGCAGTGGAAGACAGGAGTGCCTGGCGTGCTCTGGTCCATGGGGTCACGAAGAGTCGGACACAACTAAACGACTAAACAACAAATAGCTCTGTAGATAAAGTTACAAGCTTCTTGTTGTGTGTGAGTTCATGTTTCCTTGTGTGTGAGAGAAAGAAGATTGCTTCTGATCCTGTAGCTGCCTATGATTCCCATTATGCCTACCCCTAACCCATTCCTGACCAACATGGAAGTGAACTTGTCCAGAATTTTCACTCCGTGAGTCACTGCCGTTTAGATCCATATTTTTCAGCTTTCTGTCTGAAAACTTACCAAAACGAGAGCCAAAGGCCACTTGGCTAACCAACTCCCATAGCTGCCTTCATGAACAGCCATTCCCCATAGATATTACGCAGAGGTATGAAATATTTAGAACCCAACCTTGCTTATTTTTCACTTCCCTTCTTGCTGCTTTTTGTCTTTTGCCTTTTATTTGCAAGCTATTATTTTAAACTGTAAATTAACTTGGTTGCTTTGGGAAAAGGTAGTATACAGATGTTGCAAGCAAGCTAATGAATAAAATGAAGTATTTCTTTTAAATGCCTAACAGGCAGAACAAGACGTGACTTACGCTGAACAAGCAGATGTTGAAGAAACAGCTAAAGCTACTGAAGAACAGAAATACATATTTGGGGATTTTATTGAGAGACTTTGGGCTTATCTCACCATTCAACAGCTTCTGGAAAAACGGTATTGGACGGTGCTTTCTGATGTCATGAATAAGATCAAAAATTTGGAGAAATATCCCACATCTAATCGAATAAAGCTGAAATCCAATGCAAAATTTCCTAGAGTGTGGACAATTGAACATGGTAGGACTGTACATCATAGGATTGTTCTGGAATTGCCCTCATTTTTTTTAGGAGGGCATTTGTCTTAAGTGGGATAAAAGCACCCTTCCAATGGATCTGTCTTATGCACGGCTTTTTTTCAGCCGGAACTCAGTTCTGGCACCTCTCAGGTGGGCACCATTGCCATTATAAGCAAACAAGGGTGCGTTCCGACACCTCTTTTTTCTATAACAATAGCACTGGTCTTCTGCTTTGTGAAGTCATTTCAAGTACAGTGAACCTTAAACCCTAAATCTAGCTCTTCAGTTTCAGCCATTCCCCGTAGCCGAAAACTTAAATGCTTGTGACATAGAGAGGTCTCCTCACTTGATTAAAAGTCTTCCTTTTCCAAGGTGGGAGGAAATAGTGTCTTGACCAACAAGCTACCAAAGAGGCATCCGATTAAAGTTTATAATCTACCCTATATATCCAATGTTCTCTTGAAGCCATTGGAATTGTATTCTCTTTCAACCATACTACTGTGCATATTTCAGAATAGTTTGCCCTAATTAATGCCATGTAATCATCTTACATGGCAGTTCCCTAAAACAAAGAACTCTGCCTTCTCTGTTCTCCAGCCTCAGCTGATGTTGTCAAATATATTCCCTTTTTTTGGCCCACCACATTTTTCAAAATTGTTGCCAGAGTTGGGTGCAGGATTTGCACTTTCAGCTGCTGCACATAAGAAAGGCCCTCTGTCTCTAGCAGAGATTTATTGCAGAAGCAGTGTGAATGCAGACACCCTTTATCATTTCTAGAATTATATCTTATTTCCCATCAAGGAACAAATACTTCTATGCAGTTATGTTGCATTTAAAACACAGAGGTTCTGTTTTTAGCTATTATGATGGTCAATAGCCATAGACAGACCTATCCTACATGGAGTACTCTAATTCTTTTTTAACCATCTGTGTCATTGACTGCAACACTGAGGTGGCTCATGTGTGACCCTCCTAATGTTTTGGACCACAACTCCCCACATCCCTGGCTGTGCTCGATGGGGCTGATGGGGATTGGAGTCCCAACGACATCTGGAGGGCCCCAGGCTAGCCACTTCTGATGTAATACAACATATGGGGGCAACCAATTTACTTGATGCTGTCCTTTCATCCAGCAATGTAGCAACGGGAGACGAAAAGACTAATCTGACTGCTGAAATCTTGGACATGTCTCTGAAATACAAGTTTGTGACTCCTTTAACATCTATGGTAGTTACAAAGCCAGAAGACACAGTGAATGACACTGCAATTGCTGACAAGCCTCTGGAAGGTAGAGATATATTATACCGTATTTATTTTATTTTACCCAGGGGGTTGTGATCCTGACTCCCAATTTCATTGTTGCAAAATGCAATATTAAAATCAGTGAAAACAACACAGTGTCAGAAGAATGTGGCGGCTAATACATATATATACCTCAGGTGTCAATACCATGCTTGATTCAGTCTGTAGCAGTAGAAGTCTGCTCACCCTTGTGGTGCGGCGGTGTTGGTGGATGGCAGAGACTCTTTCCAGGCCCCAGCAAGGAATCCCAGGATCGGCCTCCTGTTCTGATGGGTGGCGTGGGTCTAAGCCCACACCACCTGTCAGGAGACGGATCCTATCCTGCACCCAGGATTGGCGAATGGGGGTGCAAGCTCGAATGTGGGCTGGGACGGGGGACAGAGCTCTCTTCCAACTCACCCCCTCCACCCATTCAATTCCCCCGCATATCATACAAAGACCCTCTATTTAAAACCTTTTCTTATGAGGCAATAATCAATATTTTTATTTATGGACATATTTATGGAAACATTTTTAGCTGATTTTGCGCCCCCCCCCCCCGCCTGTGCCCCTGGCAGGGGCCTTCCTCATCACCCCCTAGCTATGACCCTGTTAGGAACCCCTGCTTGGATTGACCATAGTGTCACTTCCGGCAGGCGGGCTGGAAGTATTTAATTGCCCCATGCCCAAGCCAATCCTCTTTCATCTGTATTCAATATATTGTGGCCTGTTTTGATCCAATATCAGTCTTTGATTTCTTGGGATTGGGGGCTAGGGAGCACAACGCCTGGGACTGCAAGTTGTTATTCCACAATCCTTTATATATCTGATATCTTGGATGTATCCAGATTCTGTTGAGAATGTTCTACTGTTCGTTTGCTTTCAAAGTACTTCAGGGCGAGCCCACACATGAGGTGGAGTGAGGCAGTTGCCTCAGGTGGCAGATCTGGCCTCTTTGTGCACTACTCGGTGCCTCATGTACTTAGCAGTCTCTGCCGCCACCTTCTTCTCTGCTGCCTGCTCAGCTCCTTCTCCTCTATGGCCTCCTTTTACTCCCTTGCTGCGCCGGGGCTTCCTCAGGCTGCCTCCAATCACCTCAGACAGCAGCTGCAGAAGAGGTGGTGGCGGCAGCAGTGGTAGGGGGCACTGAGCAAAAGAAGGAGGAGGAGGCAGGTGAGGAGGGTGTATGTGGCATTTTCCGTTTTGCCTCAAGTGGCAAAATGTCCTAGGCTGAAGTAATCTATGTCAGAATGAATGTTTCTAAATGTTTAACTCTCCCTTTTCTTCTTCTTTTTTCTTTTCATGTTGAAAACAGCTGATGGTAAGTTTTATTGCATTGATCGTTTTACTGTTAATTATTATTTTACTTTCATTATTGAGCAAGTGTATACTAAATAGCTATCATGTGGGGACCCTTGTCCCTGGCAGGGACAGATTGCACACAGTGTACCAAGTCATTTGTGTATCATGCTGTTCGTTGCTTTGGATGCTTTGGTGATGGAAAGAAAACTGCCCCGATTTCTCTGTAAGGATTTTAAGGGAAATTTTTGGAATTAGTAGTCTAAACTGAGCACACATATGGTTAATATTGCTACTGCAATTTTAAATGCTAGTTATGTTTGTGATGTCAGATCTAGAACTCAGAAATAATAATAATAATAATAATAATAATAATAATAATAATAATAATGTGCAAATACAATAGCCAAATGATAACTGGACTACTATATAGGAGCTGAACAGACGAATATAAGGTGTACTTGCTTAAATCACACTGCTACAAAACTGTTGAAGGTACAGGAGCTATGCACTCCTTTGTATCTGTCCACCCTAAGGACAGAATGAATCCAATAACATTTTTTCATAGGTACAACTTTAACTGGACAGCAGTACATATCTCTTATGGTCCATGCCACTCTGACACAATTTTCCCCATATTTATGTTTCATTTCCATGAGAATTTTTGAAAGAATTCTTCTTAAATACATATTTAAATGCTTGATGAAATACATTTTTAAATGTGCATTTCTCTAAAAACACATATAAAATACTTATTTTGCTCAAAATATGTATCTAAATGCATGTTTTCTCTCACAACACACATTTAAACATTTACTTTCATTCAGGATACATATTATATTGCACAGTTGACAAGTTTAAACTGCAAAAACTGTGTCACAACATTTAAAGAACTGCAAAACAAGGGTAGCTATCTTTTGATCTGCACATTGATCCAAAATGTCATTTCAGTATAGGAAGTCACGTAAACATCCCTATGTTCTGATAACCATTTAGAAGACAATTAGAGAAGATACCATAGGGAAAATAGGGTGCAATGTTTCAGAGCCCCAGAACATGAGCCCAGCAAGAGAGCAGTGTGCAGGGTGGGGACCAAAGGTTGGCAAGCTACCCCAGAAGGAGTAGGAAGTGTCTCCCACAAGAGGTACTACCCTTCCCCTAATACCCCATAGACTCCAAGAACTCCAGCTACCATTCAGAAATCTAGTAAGACCTGTATCTAACCAACTGCACATTACAAAGACTGACATCTGTGGTACATAGGAACATAGACTTGGCTTTATACAACATCAGGCCTTCTAATTCAGTATTGTCAACAACACTTGCTGGCACCAGCTCTCCTGGGTGGTATGCCACTAAGTTTTACTGAGAGTAAACCTGCTGAAATTAATGAACACTATTAAGCTACGTCCATTGATTTCAATAGGTCTACTCTGAGTAAAGCTTAGTAGAGTACCACCCAGATTTGCTCTGGAGGATTGGGGAAACTCCCACAACACATGGGTGCTGAGAGGGGGATGACCCCTCAGTGCATGAAATGGAATATTTACCATTGTGCTAGAATACAATCCATAATAATCTGTGTTTATTTTATTGCCTGTATCATGGTTATTTCACCTCTTTTGTTTATTCCGTAATAACAGCAACATTTTTTCAATGAAACTGTGAAGTAGCATAAGATTCATTGAACCTTTACTTTTGTCTGTTCTGATCAGGAACAGTATATAATCAAGTTACGTTTATTTAAAATTGGTATGAAAATTCATCTCTCTCTCTCTGACTCTCTCTCTCTCTATATATATATGCATTCTGTTTTGCCTCTAGTGTAACATTTTCTTATTTCTACATAGCATCACGTCCTGTTATTCCAGCATATAGTGCACCACAACACTATCACAGATATACCAGCGGTGAGTTTTGTTTGGAATTGTTACAGATAATGGATAGTGAGATCTGTGGTCTAAAACACTTAAGTTCTACAGTCTCCGCGACAGCATTCCATATTGTGACCAATTTCCATCATAACACAGAGACATATCGGTAGTTCCCAGTTCAGATTTCATGATGAGCCAGGGTTTGAAGAGTTAGGAATGTTCTGGAAGGCTCCTGCTCTCCCTCTTCTCCTCTCGTATTCAAGTTTCCTTCTTTACTTTCTGGTTTTCTCTAACCTTGGTATGCCATGACATTCAAATTGGACAGCATTGCCATAAAGCCATAGTTTGGATAAAGGGCAGGATAGAAATTTAATAAATAAATAAAGTAGCAGCCCTGTTAGACCCCCATAGGCATTAACGCTTGGGTCGTTATAGGCATCCGATATCATCCCTGCATACCCTGTACACTCATACACAATAGTTCATAATTCATGTAGTAATTAAATCAATAACTCTTAAATCATTATTACATCACATTAAAATCATTGTCAAATGCAACTCTCTTTCTTAAGCTATGACTATGTAGGGGTGTGTGTGAATGTGTTTGATCCCAATTAGTAAAGCTATTTTTGTGAGAATAGGTGGTTCTAGCATGCTTAAGGCAGAATTACATACTGTACTATGAAACAAGCAAGTGGTTCCTAACTCTCTGTTTGCCTCCTAACTCTAATTGGGGAGGAGCATTTGTCAGGAAGAATTGGCAGGCGGGAGAGGGTGGCGCCTAACCCTTCCAGAACTACTTTGTCCCTGCAAATCCCAACAATCCACGCCATACTCCTACTATTTCCCTTCTGCAAGGTTCTGAGGTTGGAAGTAAGACTAGTTGAGAGGAAAACATCCTAGGAGGAGAATTTATTCAGGTTAGGCACCCAAGTATCAGTTTAGTTTTGCCCTACAAAGATTCTACCCCCAGCCCCACCAATGTTCATGTTACTAAGGCAAACAGAGTTGTAAGGAACCACATCTGCTGCAGGAACATGTAGTTCCATCCAAACTTTGTAATGGATTGTGAACTTTTTCTGGAGCACAGTAAGGGCATTACAGGCAGAGATAATTTCTCTCCGCATTTCTGGAGTCTTTCTGTATTCTTTAAATGTGAAATGAACTTGTGCTTTCAGAGAATGATCAGTGATCTAATTGTAAATATCCATTTGCAGTCGATGCAGATCCACACTTCATTATTGATGTGCCCCAAAAAGAAGATGCTCTTTGCTTTAACATTAATGAAGAGCCAGGCGTTGTGTTAAACCTAATCAGAGACCCAACTACAGGTAAGCTTTTATCACACATGCTGAGCACCACTTGCCACTCTCTGAGTGCAGAGTCTGCAGCCTTGAGCCCCATGTAGCTATGAAAGTGCTCAGTAACACCCTTGCATAAGGACATGGGCTGCTCCTCCTCAGCTCTTGGTTGCTGTGCAGTCCCATCCAGCTGGTACCTACAGCTACCCACCCACCCTCACATACACACACATACACACACACATGCACCAGCATTGTTTTCAGCCAGTGTGGTGTAGTGGTTAAGAGTGGTGGACTCATAATCTGGTGAACTGTGTTCGCTTCCCCGCTCCTCCTCATGCAGCTGCTGGGTGACCTTGAGCTAGTCACACTTCTTGAAGTCTCTCAGCCTCACTCACCTCACAGAGTGTTTGTTGTGGGAGAGGAAGGGAAAAGAGATTGTTAGCCACTTTGAGACTCCTTAGGGTAGTGATAAAGCGGGATATCAAATCCAAACCCTTCTTCTACTTTCCAATAGCTAGATGCACTTGGAGCCTGTTATCTCTGTTTTCACTACAAGAGGGAACCTGCAGGATCTGACAGATGCCTAAAGGTGGCTTGGGTGGTGTGATGGGATGATGAGCTGCTTGTGCGTAAAATCGTATCCCCTCAGAGTTTGTTCAAGTCCACAAACCTCTGTCTGTGACGGAGCCCCTCAGACATGGCTCCTCTAGTCACTGGCAGATTCCGACAGTGGTTGCTTTCGGATTTCTTCCAACATAAAAGCTCCTTAACGGAAACACGTCTTCTGGACTCTCTGCGTGACAGTTTCCGGCGAGGAGTGGGTGTCCCTACAGGAGGTCCTGAAACCTCCCCACTGTTTTCGCTGGAAGTGTCTCTGAGCCATCCCTCCAGCTCACTTTCCCTCAGCTCAGCTCCTCTCCCCCTACTGGTTCCCTCTTCAGCTGCTGAGTCTCTCCCACCCTGTGTGAGCCCTTTCACCTCCCTTCCTTCCGATGGCAGTTCCCTGACATCCACCTCCCCCTCCAGGGCCCCCTTCACCCCCTCTCGCCCCCTCCTCTACGGGCGGTGAGGAGGCAAAACCCGGAATGAACTTCCTTCATCTTCCGATGTCTCGAACACTTCTCTCCACCTGTTGCGGTTCCTGGTCTCGAAGTACTCCTCCTCCTCAGAGTCCATCTCCCCTTCCCCTTCCGAGTCCAGGAATCCTTCCAACTCCTCCTCCTCATCAGTGGTCCCAAAGTATTCCCTCCGGAACCTCTCCACAGGCTGAGGTTTCCTTGGGAACCTTTGATGGAACGTTTCTATCAATACCTCGTCATTGATATCTTCGGCCATTACCCAAGTGTTTTCTGACTCCGGTTCTCCTTCCCACGCTACCAAATACTCCACCTGATCCCCCTTCCACCTGGCGTCGAGGATTTCTGCCACATGGCTGCTGCATTCTCTTTCTTCTATGACCGGTCCCAGTGGCCATCCCTTCTCGTCCCCCCTGGTACGGTGACAGTAACGACCTGTGAAATACTGGGTGCAGTTTCATGTGGTTGGGTAACCGGAGCCTGAAAGCCACTGGGTTGACCTGTTGAATGACCTCAAAGGGACCCAACCTCCTGGGTCTTAATTTCTTACAACCTCCTTTGAGCGGCAGCCCTTGGGTTGACAGCCACACCCTATCTCCCACCCTTATGGTTTCACCTTCCCTTCGGTTCTTGTCTGCCTGCCTCTTGTATTCTTCCTTCGCCCTTTCTAAGTTGAGTTGGAGCTGACGATGGATTGCTTCCATTTCTTCTACAAAATGCTCGGCTGCCGGGACGCTCCATCTCTCCCCTTCTCCCCCTGGGAAAGCCCTGGGATGACACCCATAATTAGCCAAGAAGGGGCTCATCCCTGTGGACACATTCTCGGCATTGTTGTAGGCAAATTCCGCCAGCGCCAACTTTTCTACCCAGTCATTCTCTCTGTCATTGACATAACACCTCAGGTATTGCTGGAGGACACCGTTTGCTCTTTTCCATCGGTTTTTGTAAATCCACATGCAGGAGTTGTTGTTCCGAGGCGAAGGCCCTTTTTAGTTCCTCAAATGCTCGCTCCGCCTCCTCAGTCCAAACGAACTTCTTCTTACTGCTGAGACAGTCCGTAATGGGCGCCGTCAGGTGGGCAAAGTTTCGGATGAACTTACGATAGAAGTTCCCAAATCCTAGGAACCTCTGCACATCCTTCCTTGTTTTGGGTGTTTTCCATTCCAGCACCGCCTGGACCTTGCCGGGATCCATGGCCAATCCCTTGTCTGACAGGCGATACCCCAGGAATTCCACCTCCTTGGTATGAAACTGACACTTCTCCAGTTTCACCCACAGCTGGTTGGCTTGCAGCCTGCTCAACACTTCTCTGACGTCTCTCACATGCTGCTCCTCATTCTCAGAATACACCAACACGTCGTCTAAGAAGGCCACACAATTCTTGTAAAGCAAAGGCCCCAGGACGTGGTTCATCACCGATTGAAAGCATGCGGAGCCTGCTTGTAGGCCGAAGGGCATAACTAAATATTCAAATGCCCCTAAAGGGGTGAACATGGTGGTTTTCCATTCATCCCCCTTCCTTATTCGTATCAGGTTGTACGCCCCCCTTAGGTCCAGCTTTGTGAAAATCTTTCCCTTCCGCACCCTTGTCAAAATGTCGTCAATCCTGGGCATAGGGAAGGCCACTGGTTCTGACACTGCATTTAAGGCCCTGAAGTCACACACCAGCCTCGGCTTGTTCGTGTTTTTATCCACAAAAACACTGGGCTGCCCCACCGCCCTGGACTCTCTGATGAACCCTCTCTTCAGGTTCTTGTCAATGAACTCTCTTAGCTCCTGCATCTCTCTGTCTGACATGGCGTACAGCTTGCCTACAGGGAGCTGTGCCCCAGGGAGTAAATTGATTTGACAGTCAAAGGGTCTATGCGGGGTAGTTGGTCAGCTTCCCTTTCGCTGAAGACGTCGCGGAGATCTGCGTATTGTCGTGGTACCTTCACGTTCTCCGTTACTTCAGTCCCTGCTAGGGTGGCTTGGGCCCCTGCCAAACCCTTTCCCTCTTTGCAATGTTCTAAGCAATGTGCTGAACCAAAAGAAACCACTCTCTGATGCCAGCCCACCAGCGGATCATGTAACGCTAGCCAGCTCATCCCCAATATAATGGGAGCTCCTCCCAAGGTGGCCACATTAAACGCTATCAGTTCGGTGTGCCTTGCCACCTTCATTATCATTGGGACGGTCTGCAAGCTGACTTCTCCTCCCAACAGCTCCCTGCCATCGATCGTGGTCACCTGCAGGGGTTGCTTAACGGGATCGTCTGTATCTGGTGTTCAGCTGCAAACTCTTTGCTCATGAAATTGCAGGAGCTGCCTGAGTCCAACAGCGCCTTTATCTTTAGAGGGTGTCCGTTTGGCAGCTCTAGCGCCACTTCTATCACTAGGGCGGGTTTAGGAGGTTCTGGCTTGGGCACTCTCACTGCTCTTTGGCCTGGCTGCTGTGCCCCGACGGTGGCAGCCAGGCGTTGGCGTTGGCTTGCTCCGGTATTTCTTCCTCTCTTCCCTCCACAGCTCCTACCATCCCTTGCCATTCCTTCCTCTGGGGGCAGACTCTGGCAAAGTGACCTGGCTGTTGGCAGAGATAGCATTTCCGGGCGCCTTTTCGCTCCTTCTTTCCCCCCTCACTGGGCTTTGAAACTGCGCGCGCGCGCGCTGTTCCGATTTCCATCGGCTCTGCCGGCGGGAAAGTTGGCTCTGGAATGTCTGGAATGCGTAACTCCTTCCAACGTTCCCCCTTCCCTTCCCGCCTCTCCAATGCTCTCACCTCCTGGCGCGCTCCTATGGTCAGCGCTGATTTGGTCAGCTGGTCCATAGACTCCACCCTGGGCGCCCGGGAAAGTTCGTCTTTCACAGCCGAAGAAAGCCCTTCTTCAAAGAGCATGTGAATGGGTTCCGCCGATAAGTCCCACCCCAATCTGTGAACCAGCATGGTGAACTCAGTCCAGTACTCACGGACAGATCGGCTCCCCTGTTTGCAAGCCATTAACTGTCTGCGCACCACTCCCTGTTCAATATCGCTGGAAAACATCAGATCCATGGCGCGAAAGAACTTCATCGTGTCCTTTAGGAGGTCACTATTCGCTGCCATCAGGGGTCTAACCCAGTCTCTCGCCCCCTTTTCAAGATGCCCAATCACGAAAGCCACTCGTGATTCCTCGTCAGGGAATTCATCAAACTGCAGATTGAGGGCATATTGCATCTCTGTCCGAAAGCCATGATAGTCTTTGGGCTCCCCCCCAAACTTCTGCACCAATCCTGGTACCTTTCTGGCGAGCTGGGTGGCTTTCCCCTTGTTGTCTGCATCCTGAGCCCTCCTCTCCTCAAGCCTCGCCGTCTGCAGCGCTAGCTGGACCTCCAACACCCGGTACCTTTCTTCCAGGCTTGGACCCGCTCCAGCTCCTGCTTCTCCGGTTCCGGCTGGGTTGCTCATGATGCCTTCTCCTGCACAAGCTGCTTTCAAAGACTGTCGGAATGCTGTGATGGGATGATGAGCTGCTTGTGCGTAAAATCGTATCCCCTCAGAGTTTGTTCAAGTCCACAAACCTCTGTCTGTGATGAGCCCCTCAGACATGGCTCCTCTAGTCACTGGCAGATTCCGACAGTGGTTGCTTTGAATTTCTTCCAACATAAAAGCTCCTTAACGGAAACACGTCTTCTGGACTCTCTGCGTGACAGTTTCCGGCGAGGAGTGGGTGTCCCTACAGGAGGTCCTGAAACCTCCCCACTGTTTTCGCTGGAAGTGTCTCTGAGCCATCCCTCCAGCTCACTTTCCCTCAGCTCAGCTCCTCTCCCCCTACTGGTTCCCTCTTCAGCTGCTGAGTCTCTCCCAACCTGTGTGAGCCCTTTCACCTCCCTTCCTTCCGATGGCAGTTCCCTGACAGGTGGGAAGTCAGTAAGGCCAGACTAGAATAAAAGGATCTTTGATAGTTTCAAACTGAGAGTTTTCTCCAACAGCAATCTGGGGTTCAGCTAAGGCCTTTTATCCTGTCCCCTTCTGGTGGAGTTCCTTAGGGAGGTAGTCCTCTGGCAATTTTTTATATTGTATATTTAGTTGTCCATAGAAAACTGCTCTTTTAGCTACCAAGGCTTATTTTTCTGAAGAATTTTTATTTACTTATGCCCCTCCTTTTCTTTTTAGGTATTTCTGTCAATGGGCAACTTATTGGCGAAAAGAAGAGCAGTAATGATGTAGGGTCAATACACAATACCTATATTGGAAGACTTGGGATTCGAAATACGCAGTTGAATGTAAAGCTTGAAATAACTCCTGAGAGTATCACTCTTCACAATGGCACAAAGCAAATGATGTTCACATGGCTTGATGAAGTTACCTTACTACATCCTAGGTAAAATTCACACACCAAGCATGTTTTAAAATATATTTTTTCTTAAGCAAAGAAACAGATAACAGAAGACATAAAAGATAAGGAAGGACTGTAGCTCAGTGGCAAAGTATCTGCTTGGCATGCAGACTCAGGTTCAAGCCCCAGTATGTATGGGTAGGGCAGAGAATATCCTTGCCTAAAATCCTGGAGAAATGCTGCCAGTCAGTGTTGACCAGACTTTTTCAACCTCAGGTCCCTAGATGTTGTTGGACTACAACTCCCACCATTCCTGGCTAGCAAGACTAGTGGTCAAGGATGATGGGAGTTGTAGTCCAACGACATCTGGGGACCCAAGAAAGGCTGATGTAGACAATACTGAGCTATATGGACCACAGGCCTGACTCAACACAAGGCAGCTTCCTATTCTTAAATACACTTCCCCAAAGTCTTTTATTCGAGTTGCTGTAGCGATTTGTAGTGTTAACCATTGAATGCACCTGTTCATACTGTATTTCTTTATCCAAACTAGTTTGACTTTGAAAATCATTCGGAAAAAGAGCCTGGAATTTTCAATGGGAGAAGGAGCAACATTTATAGTGGTTTTGCATCAGTCATGGAGCAAACATGCAGTACATCCGAATTTTCTAGGATTTTACACGTTGGATAGTCACAGGTTGTCTGGGCGTACCCATGGTTTATTAGGTATGAATTTGTGAAATGATTGATATGCTGAACATGAAAAGCAATATTCATTTTCCAGAAGTATGGAAACCTTATTTGAATTGAAAACCTTTGGGGCAAGGAGTAAACCACAATGTGCAAATATTTAAACAAAGGAGGAAAGTAACAAGTTTGATAGATGGGAGCGGGAAAAGGATGGGGGAAATAAGATATTTCCTTCTTAGTAAGTTCTGCTGAGCAAAAGAAAGCATGCTTTTCAGTAAACCTAATAAGATTAGGCTGTACATTTGTTTGTTTTTAAGTTTGGGACCTCTTACGTGCGTGCAATGCAGCTTCTGAACGTTAAAAATGTAAACAGTGCAGTGTTTTTCCTTAATTTCCCCCCTGTCAAGTGTCTTATAAGGATTGGAAATTTTTGCCTTGCCATCATTTTGCAAGCTAGGAAACAAGAGCTTAAATGTGCATAATGACCAGGTTTTCCTATCATTATGCCATTCACAGTGATAGTTACACAGTTTTAGACCCTGGACATAATGGTCTGGAAGTGACTCTTTAAAATGTAATGTGTATTCTTACTAGTAATTCAGTTCCGCCATGGCTAGGGGCCTCCTACTCATTCTAAAGAGCGGGACCCTGGCCTTCTGCTTCCTGGTCCTGCCCTAACAGCACCACTGGACATCCATAAATTTGGCATCATTCCATGAAAAACATCCCAGTGGATACCTATATCTCTTATCAGTCCATAATGTTACAGCTACCACAAGAGCAATTGTATTTGACCAGTCTACAAACTAAATAAAACTAAGAAATAGACCATGTTCCTAACTAGGGATGTTTGAGAAATTTGTTATTTGTAGATTCTGATATAAACGGACCTGATCTGTAGCTCCAGCTCTAATGGAGACTGGAATTTAGTTATGCATCAGCTTTCCTGCTTTCTGAATGTCCCTGACATGGTTCTCAATTTTGCATTTTTATTTTAACAAAATGCTTTCAAATGTTTTAAGATAAAATGTATTTAGGCAGCAATGCTATTCACACATACTTTGGATGAATCAAGCTGCACTGTACTCAGTGGGACTTCTGAATAGATTTATAGGACTGCGCTATAGATAGATCTGTCTATGCACTAGACATACAATGCATATTTTGAGAGAAAATGCATTTAAAAACACAAATTTAAATACATTTTTGGTGCAGAATCTAGTATTACATTAAGTGCCATGAGGAACTACTATTTTAATTCCAGTTCTAGATGATTGTGAAAGAACAATTCCCTCAGCACCACTGAAAGATCTTAGTGTGGAAGCAACTCAAACCCATAGTGATAATTGCTATTGCTTTTTTTACCCTTTAGGGCAGTTTTTCCACCCAATTGACTTTAATATACTTGAAGTCCACCCTGGGTCTGATCCTCAGAAACCAGATGCTACAATGATTGTGAAAAATAACCAGCTGACAGTAACCAGGTAAACAGCAATTCAGGTATCTGAGAAATAGTATTTTGCCTGCATGAAGCTCTGGCTTTTAATTTTAATACTGTATATTTTTTCTTTTCTTTTTAGGGGATGGCAGAAAGATTACACAGAAGATGTAAAGCATGGTACAAATGTCCCTTGTTGGTTTATTCACAACAACGGGGAAGGTCTAATTGATGGCATATACACAGACTACATTGTTCCTAGCTTGTTTTAGAACAAGATATATTAATCTTTGGCTGCAACACTTTGAAGTGACAGAATATTTCAATATTATACCACTAATAACCACCCCTCACCCCCCCAAAAAATGTCACCACAGATCAAGGTTTTTTGTGATTCCTGCTTGTATACAACACTGGCACCCTAAATTCCTACAAAATATTATCAGAAGTAGGATGTGTACTCTACAAAGCTAGGGGCTGCTGTTTTCTCTTATTAGTAGAGACTGCTTTGGTGGGTAGTACAATCATTTCTTTTATGAGCACTCATTCTGATTTCTTCTCTTCATATTAAATGCAGCCATAATTTGCCTCATTTAAATGTAGTGTTGATAGGAAGAAGTTCAAAGCAAAGGTATCAAAGCACTTCATTTTGTATAATCATTCCAACTGTGATTAAAATTTCAGTTTCAAGGTCATGATTCTTTTTGTGGAAAAGCGGCATACCATTAAATCTATGAATGAATGAATGAATGTGTGTTTTCTCTAGCCTCTAGCTAGTATAACAGCATGCTTGCAATCCCCTCTGCCAAAAATTGCTTCAGGAGGTTCCCCAACCCTCTGGAACAGACTCTCAAGGCGCACAGGGTGTTGGAGAGAAGGGGGAAAGATTCGTTGTACAAACGGAAATCGGTTGCACAAGTGGAATGGCAGTGTTGAATACAACCCATAAACTTTTATTTTCTTTGGTACAAATGGAAGGTTGCACTCCTGCATGTTCTATCTGTTGAACATGTTGTATGTTGATCGGTCAGGCGATTTTTTTTGGTCAGGCGATTGGTGCGTCATGTAAAAATATATACAGTGGTGCCTCGCAAGACGAAATTAATTCGTTCCGCGAGTTTTTTCGTCTAGCGAATTTTTCGTCTTGCGAAGCACGGTTTCCCATAGGAATGCACTGAAATTCAATTAATGCGTTCCTATGGTCAAAAAAAGTCCAATCAAAGCCAAATTTGGTACAACAATAGTTTATTAACTGCTCTTTAAAGTCACACATACTTTAAAGAGCATATCAAAAATTGAAGGAACAATAAATTAAGTTTAAGACAGAAAAACATTTAAAAATCAACAAAGTGTACTGTACATACATTTTTTAAGACTCTGGGGGACCACTCGAAGAAGGTTCCTCTTCCACTCTTTGCTTCTTGCTGAGGAACCTGTCCATGGTCTGCTGCTTCATCCGCCTTTTCAGCAGCTCCCTGAGAGGCAACATGACCGTCGTATCAAAAGTGTTCGCTTGGTCATGTGCCATGTGCTTGTTAGGGTGGTGCCGCTCTGCAAAAGCCTGCACCTCCTTCCACTTCTGGCAAATGTCCCTCAGTTCTTTGGAGGACAGCCCTTCCTCAGTTGCCTCCTCCTCTTCCAGCGAGGCCTGCTCCTGCGCAACCTCTGCCTGCAGTTCAACCAGCTCCTGGGTGGTCAGCTCGTGGTCGTGCTCCTCCACCAGCTCGCTGACGTCCTCTGTGACCTCCAGGCCCATGGTCCTCCCCAAGGCAACAATGTCCTGCACCACTGTTGACTCTGGTGCATCAGAGTCACTTGGTGCCACACAGTCCGGCCACAGGCTGCGCCAAGCACAATTCAAATTTCTCTGGCTGATCCCGTTCCAGGCCGTGGTGATCATCTTCAAGCAGGTGACGATGTCGAAGTGGTCCTTCCAGAATTCCCGCAGGGTGATGGTGGTGCAATCAGTCACCTCGAAGCATCGCCTGAAAAGCTCCTTGGTGTAGAGTTTTTTGAAATTGGCGATGACCTGCTGATCCATCGGCTGGAGCAGTGGCGTGGTGTTAGGCGGCAGGAACATGATGTTGATGAAGCTGAACTCCTCCAACAAGTCCACCTCAAGGCCTTTAGGATGAGCAGGAGCATTGTCCATCAGAAGCAAAGCCTTCAGCGGCAGGTCGTTGTCCAGCAGGTACTGTTTGACAGCAGGGTCAAAAGCAAGATTGACCCAGTCCACAAACAGCACATGTGTGACCCAAGCCTTGCTGTTGGATCGCCACATGACACTCAGCTGCTCCTTGTCGACCTTGTGTTTCTTGAAGGACCGTGGGTTCTCCGAGTGGTACACCAGCAGGGGCTTGATCTTCAGGTCGCCGCTTGCGTTGGCACAGAAGAGCAGGGTCAGGCGGTCCTTCATGGGCTTGTGGCCAGGCAACTTGGCCTCCTCCTGTGTGATGAAAGTCCTTTTGGGCATCCTCTTCCAAAACAGCCCGGTCTTGTCGCAGTTGAAGACCTGCTGTGGAACGTAGCCCTCCGTCTTCACAACCTCCAGGAACTCCAAGGCAAAGTCTTCAGCCGCAGGAACATCAGAACTGGCAGCCTCTCCATGCCTGACCATGCTGTGGATTCCGGATCTTGCCTTGAACCGGTCAAACCAGCCTCTGCTTGCCTTGAAGACTTCTGGCTCGCCTGAGGTTCCTGGCTGTTCCCGGATGAGGTCTGCGTGCAAGGCCTTGGCCTTCTCACAAATCACGGCCTCAGTCACAGTGTCCCCTGCACGCTGCTTCTCTTCTAACCAGATGAGCAGCAACTTCTCGACCTCCTCCAGAACAGCTGGGCGGTTCTTCACGATCCTGGTGACTCCCTTGGCTGCATCGGTCGCAAGGATCTTCTCCCTCATCTTCAGGATGGTCCCGATGGTCGATGGGTTCCTGCCGTACTCCCTGGCAAGGTCCGTCACACGCATTCCACCGTCGTGCTTCCAGATGATCTCCTCCTTCATCTCCAGCGTCACCTCCTTCTTCCTCTCGCCGGCCTCCGCAGCAGCAGCAGTCTTCTTGGGTCCCATGGCAGCACAGCTCTTACCTTTGTAAACTCAGAAAAAGAAAAAAAAATCAGCAATTCAAACCCAGAACCAAGTCCTTGAATTCCAAACACCCAACCCAAAATCCAAAACCCCCCAAAAAAGTTTTAAAATTTTAACTTACGAAATGGCTGCAAATCACCAAAGTCTTCAAAATCCTCAAATGGCTGCAAAAGAAGTTTTGGGAAAGCTTTAAAAATCACCAAAGTCTTCAAAAACCTCAACTGTTCCCCCAGCCCCTCCCCAACTGTTGCAAACCCCTCCCCAACTGTTGCAAACCCCTCCTCAACTGTTCCCCCAGCCACCCAGCACACAGAAATTCAAACCCAGAAATTTTTTCCAAAAAAAACAACATGGCCCAATGGTCACAGAAAATCATAAAAATGCAGAAAAAACCACACAAGCTCCCAGATTCTTGCAAACCCCTCCCCAGCTGTTCCCCCAGCAACCCAGCACACAGAAATTCAAAACCCAGAAAATTTTTTCAAAAAAAACCAACATGGCCCAATGGTCACAGAAAACCATAAAAATTCAAAAAAACCCCACACAAGCTCCCGGATTCTTGCAAACCCCTCCCCAGCTGTTCCCCCATCCACCCAGCACACAGAAATTCAAACCCAGATTTAAAAAAAAAAAAACAAAACAAAACCCAATGGTCACAGAAAATCATAAAAATGCAGAAAAAAACCACACAAGCTCCCAGATTCTTGCAAACCTCTCCCCAACACCAAGTCCTTGAATTCTAAACACCCCAACCCAAAATCCAAAAACCCAAAAAAAAGTTTTAAAAGTTTAACTTACCAAACAGCTGCAAAAGAAGTTTTGGGAAAGCTTCAAAAATTCAGCAAACTCTTTAAAAAGCTCAAAAAGGCCACCACACCGCGTGCAATGTGTTGCTCCTCGAAGTCAAGTCGCAACTGCACCTCTTCCAGCAATGCACCCTGGGTATTAACGGTTTTATGAAAAAGGAAACAAACTTGCAAGACGTTTTCGTCTTGCGAAGCAAGCCCATAGGGAAATTCGTCTTGCGAAGCAACTCGAAAACGAAAAAACCTTTCGTCTTGCGAGTTTTTCGTCTTGCGAGGCGTTTGTCTTGCGGGGCACCACTGTATGTACCAAATAGCTGAAGCAGATTCCACATTTATCCCTTTCAGCAGATACCAGGTCAAAAGATACTGGATTTTCAGCTTGTAGTGGCCTAACCAACCCTCAGTGCTGGTTTTTTGCATGCCCAATGGTGCCTTTGGCATCATATACTACTCTCACAGCTATGTGGATAGACGTAGTTGACATTCTAACATTGGAAAAGCATGTTAAGAAGCTCTCATTTTCAGGCATACTTAACGAACATGAGACATACTGTTTTTTGTATAATATACCCCATTTGGATATTCGCATTATAAGGAAACTATTGGAGGCATTGATGGGTTACGGAAGTACCTGAGAATACAGCCAGGGATAAGTGCCACTGTACACAAAATTAAACTAAAAAAATTATTTAATATTCTAGTACAGTTCTAGCTCTGACTGGTTTGGACCTCTGTATCTCCTCTCAGAGAATTATGATTCCTTTTTCAAAGTATTTATGAACCTAAGGTTTATGCTGAGGTAAACTAAGTGATTCCCCAAGAACACATGGGGAGCAAAGTTCCTGGGTATACTTTAAAAAATCATTTAAAAGAAATCCATATTAAAGTAGTGACTCAATGTCTGCATCACATTTCCCGTTACTCATGGAGCAGTAAGTAAAAACCAAACGTGCCTGTACAGTGGAGTATTCTAGAAAATGGCACCACTGGCTAGCTAGCATTCCAAACAAGAGCACTTGGGTTCGTACTTGTGATATACTAACAGTGAAGTCATCTGGATTTTGTTGTAAATCCAATTTACACTATTGCTTACAAGTCCCACCTAGTAAAGTCATAGAATTTTGATGTAATTGTGGGTTAATCCCAAATAAATTTACTGAGTATTTGGATGCACGTCCTACTGAGGGCAGCAAAATTTACTTCGAAGTAAACATTATGCAGGATTGGAGTGTAATCCAATGCACACAAGAATCTAAAGGCACGCAGCATGATGTCAAAGAACAAGGGAGCAACCCTTTCAAAGCAGAGGAGACATGTGCCCTGAATTTAAAAATAAAATCATGCTCCAAATTAATCCCATCCCCCTCACCAAGGTTCAGGT